ATATAGAAAAGCGAAAAAAGTTTAATTCTATTCATGCTTGAATACCCTTTCTACTATAATATATATTTTATTATTATTTAAAGTCTCTCTCCGGCGAGCTTCTCCTTCAAAAAATATTTAAAATTATCGTGTAAAAATTACCGAAACAAATTTAACTTTATCTCTATAACTACAACCAAACTTGAATACTCATAATACTTGAATACTCTAAACATTTTCCTGTAATTGAGCTAGTCAAATAATAAAGCCAAACCACCAACTAAATAGAATAAAAAAATAAAACATTGCTAAGGGTAATTATAAATTGCACATACGCAGCGAGGCGCCTGCTAGCAAAACTTATTTAAGCCAAAGCTAGATAAACAAAAATAAAGACTAAAAAATAATATATTGCTCAACTGCGCATAAAACGATGTGGTATTTGCCCCCAGTTGCTCTGGATGGCATGTGCTTTGTTGTGGCTTATTGAGAACCGGTCAGTGCTTTGGTATTTCTTGAAAACTAAAAACACGTTGGCTTTGGTTATGAAATTATATGCTTACCGCAAGCTTTTGCTGTGGCTTGCTTCCCAATACAAAGAGAACATAGAACAAGGCGTATCAATCAGACCAGTTGCCAATGCTTCCAAATAAGCAGCGGTTGCTGCACTTGAAAGGATAAACTCTACGCAAGCTGTCGCAGAGTTCGTGCAAAACGTGTCTCAATAACAAAATTAACAGAAATTGCAACATATTGTTGCATGTGGTCGAATTAGGGAGGAGAGCACCGGCTGCGGTTCCTTTAGGTGCCTGACACGTGCGTCTGTGGCCTGCACTACAACAAATTGCAAGAAAAATCAACTGCGTACAAAAACTTATTTGACAACTGCCAATAACAACAAAGTCTGCATTAGAATTGTGGTCACCACAAAACCTTATTTCTCAACAAAAATGGAAAACATTTTATTATTTGCTTTGCGTCTGATGTCAAATAAAAGTCAACTTCAAAAATGAATTATATGTAATGAAACATAGAAAAAATTGTGTTTCTAATAATAAAAAGAAATTGAACGGTTTCAATATATAAAAATAGTAATCATAAAGTCACAGAAAATAAATTATTAAAAATAATTTGTGCTTGAATTTTCATGAATATAATTTTTTTATCTTTTATATTGTTATTGTAATTATATAAATATTAATCTTATTTTTTTTAATAAGTAAAAATAAATATTAAAAATTATATTTTATCTTTTAAACAATTTCTTATTCTTAATTTAGCAGTACTATTACAAAATATTCTTTAATTAATAATTACAATATTGGTTTAATAATATAATATAATACAATAAATAATAAAATAATAAATTATATAATAAGAAAGCGTTCTATATAAATACTAAAAATCCTGATTATACAGCATATATATATATCACAATCGACGTTAAAAATACCTTTATGCATTAAGAACTGATAATCCATCATTGAGGCGGTCAAGTATGTCCCAATCTAGTTGTCTATTTCTGTCAGTGTAACTAACCCACAATCAAAACTTCAAATGCAACTTTTACACAATGCCGCACAGCTTGAGCTTCGCTACAGCAGCTACAACAACAAGCATGCTTAATGAAGCGACTCTGGCTCAGAGCGGGCAGCAATAATGACAAGAGGGTCGCAGCCCTTGGGCAACTGTTGCCCGCCCAAACCCTAAAACTGAGCTCGTTTCACGCCCATTCACACTGACAGACAGCTATGAACCGTACTGTGGGTTGTAGATCTCTGTGCGTCTTCATGAGTGTGTGTGTGAGTGGGGGCGGAGCTCTGCAACACATGTGACCAACAGCTGGACCGGCAGCACTGCTGCCAGCACCCATTGAATAGCATAGAAATAGAAATAGAAATAGAAATAAAAGAAGTAGAAAAACGTACGTGCAAAAATTTGTGCGCTTGATTAAATTTGGAGTCGCCGAATGGTTGAAAGCCAAAAGGCAACGCCGTGACCAGCGGGCACGGCCACAAGTGTGAGCCAAGTTGAAAGACAATCAGGCGGCAATTTAAATCCATTTTCACTGCGGCCAACGGACAGCCACGGTCCAGCCGGCAGCACCTGCTGCGACAGCCAGCCAGACAGTTGCACTAACTTCTGCTCGATTAGTTTTGATTTGGTTATTCGGCATTAGGCAATATGCTTTTCCCTTTCAGTGCCATTTCATTCCTCTTTCACCATTGTCCCAGGCAAATAACTAATTTCCCTAAAAATCGAGCCAGCTGCTTATCGCAAGTTTGAATACAAAGTTCACTTTGGCATAGGCACATGCTGCGGAGATGCCATTGAGGCAGTTAGCCATGCTTCAAGCTCTTTACTTTTTATTAACTCATTGTTGAGATTATTGATAAATATTAAAATGTATTATTTTAAAAACAAAATATACCTAACCAGAGTAGCAAAGTGAACAAGGGAGAAGGAGAGCGAGAGCGTGAGCAATAGCCAGAGAAAAAGAAACACGGAGAGAGAGAGAGAGAGGGAGGGAGCGAGGAAGAAAGAAGAGGGAGGGATATAGAGAAGCAAGAAATGGAGAATGTAGAAGAGAGACAGTACGAGAAGATAGAAAAAAAGACATAGAGAAAGCGTAGAGAGAAGAGTTGAGGGAGAGAGAGAGTGATGGCGCAAAAGACAGAGAGGAAAAGAGCGCAGAGAGAGAGAGAGAGGAAGACAGAGAAGGTGGAAGAGAGAGACAATAAGACGAACTAAAGATAGAAAGAGAAGAAAGCGAGAGAGCCAAAAAGAAGGAATAAGAGATAGAGAGATCAGCAGAGAGGGACAGAGAAAAAGAAAGACGAACCAGCGAATCTGATAGATAAAGATAGAAAGAACTAGAAAAAAACAAAGAGGAGATAAAAAGAAGACAGAGGACCAAGAGAGACAAATAATTTGAATAGGCTTTTAGAAGAATTATATATCCTTCAACTGACTATCTTTATTTTTCAAATACAGAAAATAGATTTAAAAAATAACAGTTAAAAAGCATTAGTTTACCATTCACATTATTTATGTATCCTAACTGCTTAATTTAGATGCAAATTCAATTTGTGGTCAAGTTTCTATTAAGCTTTTCGTGCGATGGCCATGTTGCAGCTGTTGGTCACATGTGGCGTATACTTAATATCAGTTAGTATCACGTTTTTAATGCCAAAATCAGAATATCAAAAGTGTGCTTGAGTGTCTACGTGGCATAAGGGACAAGTTGTGCTATTTCAAATTACATTTCTCGAGTTGGACGAACAAGGCAAGGCGCAACAAGAAGTATTATGACATTAAAAAGCTGGTCAGTCGAGTCGCTCAGGGAGAGTGGCAGGAGCCAATGGGATCCATGTCTTATGCCTCGTGGGTCGTGCTTTGTGCCTCGTGCCGTTTGAGTCGAGAGTCGACCCTTAACACCTCTATAATTTGACATGAAAGCAGCGCCGAGATCTCGAGTGCGACAAGCGCTGCGGGTCTCGGAATAAAAGTCATTACACTTCCGCTAAATGTCGCTATTATTTAACAATTTTGTTTATGCATGCTACCCATGCAGACGCACCCCATGGCTCTAATGCATACACATACCCTATAAGAAATATAATTTATGGTTACTCAGACTACGAAAAAAAGCAGCAGAAGCAGCAGCAGGTGGAGAGAAACTAAATTGTCGTCGTTCTTGTTGTTTGACTCGCAACAAAAAGTAGGAAAACAATTACAACTGACTTAACACTTCCGTTGCTTGTTGGAAAAGCCGCACACGTTTGTCCTACAAATCGTTGGAAGGGTCTGGTAGCAAAGTAGAGGGCTAGGGATAGTGCGGCGTAACGCACTGTGCCCCCGTCAAGCACTAGAAATTGTAATTTAACACGTACCTTTGTAGTACAGGTAGCTTCTTCCGCAGGTGGTCAGCTTAGCAGCCTAGCTAGTGAATCACATGGCAACACTTCGCACGACCCCTTGACGGGTTTCTTGGGGCCGTTAAATATTTAAATTTCTTATTATTACTACACATAAGAAAATCACTCAAAATCTTATTTTCCCATTATTCTTATCGATAAAAAACGATAATTTGATTTCGTTTTTTAAAAGTATCTTGGATACCACAAAAGATCCGATTTATTAAAAATAATGTACAGATTTTGTATATTAGATTTTGGATACCTCGCCCTAAAGTTGTGCTTCGGAAAGTGCTAACATCTATACGTAAATTGAACTATCTGAAAATGCGAGTCTTGTGTGTTATTTGCTATGTATGTGTAAAAGAGCCGCTCCCAGCAGGGTTCAAGGTACCTGTATACCTTCAAAAATTAGTAGCATTTGTATTTCAAGAATAACATTTTATTGGATTCTTTATGATTATAATTTAAAAGATATATGTATAAAAAACAGCAATAAAAATGCTCCAAAAATATTCGCTGAATAATAATGTAAAGCACCTTAAACAAATTAATTATGTTACGCTTTGCTTTGTGCAACTTACGACTAAAAATATTTGCTTTGCATGAGAAAATGGTATGCAGAGTTATTCATCGATATTTTATCGATTAACGATGAGTACACGAACGATTCCATAAGACTTTAAAGCTTTTCAGCAATGCACTTTGCATTGGCTTAGCATTTTCGAATAGATCATAAAATGAAAATGTGGTGCGGAAAATAAATAAGAAAAGCAACAAATGATAAATAATTAGGTGACTTAAAGAAAAAGAGTAATTGAAATTTGTTCTTTGGAGTATTTACATTTAGATGACATATCAAAAATAAATAGCTGAAAGCAAAATGACTCGACTTCCAGAAAACAGTTGGCTGTCATAAAAAATAAAGAATATAAAAATAAACTTGTGCTTACAAAAAAGGTATAAAAATAATAAAATAAATGAAATTCTTTTTGATGTTTCAGACATACTTTAAGTTAACGATATTTTTGTGTAAAATTCGTTTAGCTAATGTTAAATATTCGAATACATTGCTTTAAGTCTAATAATTTCTTCAATTATTTAGAATATGATTTCAAGCCAATAAGCTAATTATTCGGTAGGTCAGAAATATTCGATACGCCTTTTACAAAGGTGCGAACACAAAATTGGCGTCACTTTAAAGGTGTCTAAACAAGTACACAAAGGCCAAGTAATTGCTGATTATTTTGTGAAAATTTTCATTTAAATATCTTACGCAAATCTTAACCATAAGTTAAATGTTAATGTAATTATCCATAAATATATATGTCAATATATTTATACATATCCTTCACTCCCAAGCAATGCTTTACAATGATGAGTATTGTAAATATTTCGTGTGCAAAGTTGATGGCAATGTTTCGCTTGCTCGTTCGAGATACGTTTCTTGTAACATTTAGTTTTTGAGATACACAACTCCAGATTATGTTTATTTAGGCATATGTGGTTGCAAGCACTCTAAAGTAATCCTGATGCATTTCTAGGCAAAGCTTAGATATAACTGGGCGGCATGAACAATATGTGGGAGCGATTCGTCAGCTACTTCGGCGATTCCGGCGGTGCATTGGCGCTGCCAAAGAGCTCGTCATAGGAGGGAGCTGCAAACGAGTAAGGAATAAATGAAATATAATCCAAATGTTATCATGTAGTAAGTCTTACGCAATGCGTGCGCGCCGGCGTGTTGGCGTGTCTGCGGATATGATCCAGATGCCGCCGACGTGGATGGCAGTTGGCTATAGCCGCCGGCTCCAGATGGTGGCTGTGCTGGCGGAGGCGTCAGGGCGAGCAGCGTATACTGCGGCGACTCGGGCAATGGATACGGGGGCAGATGTGGAGGTGGATACGATTGCACCATCAGTGGGCTGGAAGTATAAGGCATGTAGGGCACATTGGAGCTGCTGCGCACGCTGGCACGGGTCGAGGGGCTGCCAAACTGCGATGATTGTGAGCCGGATGTGTAGGACAGCTCCACACCACCAACGGCCGGACTAAGCGTGGAATCCGAGGTGGTGGAGTTCAAGGAACTGCATTCACTGTACATCGACGAATGCGATGGCGAGCCAATGGAAGAGTCTAGCGCTGGATACACAGATATAGGAACAGGTGGATCGAAAGGATTGCCAGGAGCAACAGCGGCGTTTGCCGCAACCTCATCAATACCCGGTGGGCCATTGTCGGGACGTGGCGGCAGCGATGGACGCACCGAGCCCAGCCTGGCGGAAACATCCTGAGAATATACCTTGAACGGCAAGTTAAGCACCAAATTCTTAAAGAAACCTCGCAAGACAGCCTCAACGCGCAGCTCATAGGATATGGTTATGACGCCGCTGAACTGCTCATCCGTTGGCTGTGCCGTGTCCGGCATCAACAGCTCATGGGCAAAGCTGCGTTCGCTCTTCTTGCCCACCGCACCCGTCTCCTTGCTGGCAATCGCAATGCATTCGACCTTCTGCACACGCAATGGTACATGACTGTAGTAAGTGACGTACTGTAGTATGCTAATGAAAGACAATTGGAATAATATTATTATCATATATGGACATATATAAAATATATATATATATATATGTATATATAAAATATATACACATAGGCTTACACAGCGCAGTAAGTGCCGACTGTGGGCATAATAAGAAAGAGGGTAATAAATGGGATTCGTGTATGCCTGATGACATTCTTTGCAATCTTTACGTCTATAGTCTTATTTCTGGCAGCAGCCTTTATTCACTTTGGATATAGAAGAATTGCTAGACTGAATCTAAGAATTTTGTGCTAACTGTAACACAGTTGTCCTCAGGCTTGTCTCTTCTTAGCCTTAAATACAGCTAACGGATCTGACAATGCAGACTAAATATGGTTCAATGGAAATTTGGTTTTCTCTCTGCCAAAATAAGCTTAAACTAAGATAGTCTCTTGTCTAACATAGTTAAGTAAGATAGCCGAAGAAACTTCCAACTGAGACGCACTCGTTTCATCGTTCGCGTTCTGCCACTTAAATCTTGAATGAAAACTGACTTAGAGCTTGAAAATTGGAAAATTGGAAAATTTGAAATTGAAGAAGAATTGAAAGTATCCACTAAAAAACTCAAAATAACATGCGCAATGACAACACATTAAGTCTGCAGGTTACAATTTTGACAGGCAATTTAACCACGACTCACTTGAAGCGCAGCTTCTCCACATTCGTTGTGCTGTTATTCGTGACGGTCACACAGATCCGCAACGGTTCGCCGCGCACGGCGAAGTCCTCGGGTAGCAGGGCCAACATGGTAATGGGTCGTGTGCCAAATAGGCTAATTGTCTTGGTGATTTGCTTCTCCAACGGAGTGGGATTGCTGCGATATGTCGACGGCAAAGGCATATTCTTCACAACCGTAAACGGTATGGTGTGTCGCTCATCAAAGGTCCAGGGTCTTTGAATGAGGACACGCATCTTGTACTTGATGCTGCCATAGCTACCGCGGAAGCTCGAGGGCAGCTCACGACCTAGCGCGACATTAAAGTTGAAAGTGTGCTCGCCTGCCGACAGTTCGAGGCCGCGCGGTTCGAATTCGGGGAGAGGCGTTTCACTATGCTCGTAGATCTCTTTGCTGGTGTAAAAGAGACTGCGCGTATATTCATTGTTGTTGGAGTTTTTGCGCAAGATTTCCATCCATTTGCATTTACCTTTGCCAGTCACTTGGATTTTTACAGCTGCGAAAAAAAATTGAGAAACAAAAACATTTTAGCAGTTATGAAAATTTAAACATGTACAATAGCGACATCTGTCGTATTTTCCAAGAATTAGACAAGAAACGGCGTTGCCAACTAATTGTTTGGTTTGTGTCTTGACTAACGTATTTGGCCAGCAACTGAAATCATATTAGCTTTGCACTTGAGCTTCCATGCAATTATACTTTATAATTTGATTCAATTGCTTGACAAATGTGCAGCTCTATATTTTTTGCACAACACATTTATTATTGATTCGTATAATTGTTTTAAATATTTGAAACAGCTGACGGTGCTGCCACCTAATGTAACGATAATGGTTTTTGTATTGACTAAAAAATATATTCCAACTAAACTGTTTTTAACAATGATTTAATATTATTTCTTTAATATTTACATCTATATTTAAATATTAACATTGTTATTTATTTATCTTTAAACAGAAAGCAACTATGTGTTTAGAAAAAGTAATTTTTTTTAATTTAATTTCAATTAGCGTGACACCACTCATGCATATCGATAGCTTTTATGGAGTATCAAAAAAGAAATGCCAGAGTTGCCACGTAGTTCGCGAACAGAAAACACGATTTTTCATCGGGCATTGAAAAATATATATCAAGCCATTTAATTAAATTGTCTGAGCTTAAACACGCAAGTAATTACAATAAAAACAAACGCGCAAAACATGTGCTGCAGCCATAAATATCAAGATCATTATAAAGTAGCACTGGGAGGCGTATTCACACAACAATAATCTTCTTCATGCCATTTTTACCAAATATATTTATTTTTCACGGCAGGACAATACCAGACAGTGAAAATTGTAATGGAGTAGGAACTGACGACTACCGGTTGACAATATGAATGCCAACTATATATCACGTGCTCTATGCTACCATGGCCAGCCATTGCAGAAAATCTGGGATGATGAGCGGGGCGTCGAGGATTTACGCCGGCTAAATCTTACACAGCCAAACTACAGCGTCTACCAGGAGCGACAGAAGTATTTTACATTTCAGGAGCGTGCTAAACGTTTGAAAATTCATCAGTTTTTGGCAAGAAAAGCATCAGATCTGTATGACCGACAGCTGGTGGGCAATGTGATGGAGGAATCATGGCTAGCGCAAATGAGCAACTGCTATGCACCGCAGCCCCCCATCGAGTTCTATTTGAACCCGAAGGACAAACGAAAAGCCTGGGCATATCGTATGGGCGCACTGAAGCAGGGAGACATTGTGTTTGCCTCAGTGCAAAAGGTTATAACGAATGCAAACCGGATTATAGTCAAGCCTTTGTGCACAGCAGAGCCAATGCACTTCTATCTAGCGGATATACCCATTAAGGTTGGTTACTAAGAATGTCTTACAACATTGAATTCATCTGAGTGAATACCCTTTACTTTAGGCCATCATCATGCAGGATCATTGGGGTCCATTGCCATTAGACAAACAAGGAAATCAACATTCATTTTCAATTAACGATTTTCTGCGTTGCGAAGTTTGCAGCGTTTCGGCTGATGTGGAACGCTTGACTCTGGGCATGTTGGGTGTGTACAATAAGACATCTGATCTTAAGCTGGGCCTATGCGATCTGACAGATTTACCAAAATACTATCGGTATGTGAATTTGCCTGATACCATTTCCATTCAACTAACATTTTATGCTTTGTGATTAGTCAAATACGTAATCTAGAGCCAGGAAACGCACCACACTACGAAGATCAGTTGAATGCAGCGCTGGAATTTGAGAATCCTAATTGTGATGTGCTTTTTCAATTAAATGGACTCCAGCCCAATGAGAATCTTACATTAATGAGCAACATTAAACATGGCTTTCCCGAATCTGAGTATGCCTTGGAGCTGCGACAGAAACAGGCCTCACAGTGGGCATTCCGGTAAGTGTTGAGGGAACCAAAATCACGGCTGATCGCTGATAAATGCTATTTATAAACTATATATATATTGAGTAGCTGATAAAGCGAGCGGCCAGCCGTGAATTGGTTGTCCTTATAGTAGCACATGCATCAACATATGTATGTATAATTGTCCGTATATCCAATGCTAACACTCACACAACCACACATACAAACTCGCAAAATACATCAGCTCCGTGGCTGATGGCATTGAGCACTTTAAGAATGGTCAACAAGTTGAGGCCTTTCAGTGCCTGAACAAAGCCCTGAACATTGATCCGCGCAATGTCGAAGGCTTAGTAGCGCGCGGTGCACTGTACGCGAATCGTGGCAGCTTCTTGAAGGGTCTGAATGACTTTGAAAAGGCGCTAATTTTGAATAAGTACCATGTGAATGCGCGTAAATATATGGGCGAAACCCTGGTGGCACTCGGACGCAGCTATGAGGAGGAGAATCGCATACCGGATGCCATCAAGGCCTACAGCGATTGTCTAAATCTATTGCCACAGCATGAGCAGGCACGCATATCCCTTGATGCACTGCAGCAAACCCGGGCATCTGTACTTGGCCCCAGCTCCAATTTAATGACCATGCAGCATAGCACCGAAATGCTCAATTTACCCAACACTGCGGACGCTACCGTCAACATTGCCTCCTCGGACGAGTCCAGTTCCTCTAGTGCTAGTGACAACGAAAACGAGAGCGAAGAGCGGCGTAAGTGTCAGACATTTGACTACCAGAATTTACTTCAACCAACCTTTTGTATATTTTAGCTGTCAAATCGCGCTCCCATTTGACCATAGAGCAGGACAAGCATGCCGTTAGTGATTCCCTATCAGCTAACGAGTTTAAGTTGGACGACGACGACACTATGAACAGTGTGCGACGACTGTTGCGCGAGGCTAGTAAACACAAGAAATCTAAAAAGAAGGGCAAAAAGAAGAAGGACAAAGACAAAGAACGCAAGGAAAATAAAAAATCTAAGTCAAAATCTGCTGATGAAATCGAGACTCTGACAAATACAGAAGCCGCACTCGAAATGCTCAAGAAAATTGACTATGCCGCGGCGTTCAGGTAACTGCGTGTATCACTTGTTAAGCGGGTCAAAGCACAGATTTGTAAAGGGCTATTGGCTATCAATTTATAATTCATTTACAAGGTTTTAATGAGCGCTATAGAAATTTTCTTGATTATGGCAATCATAGTTATTATAGACCCGTTTATAATCTGATCATTGATCCGCTTTAAGTGTCCGCAAGCAAATTGATTTTATCCTTGCGCTCTCCCATGCATGACGAATTAGCCGGAATAATAAGTATGCTAAGTGAGTCGCTTTCCATTGTTGTGCACATTTTACTTGTTCTTTCTTTTTAAAAACCTTTGCAGGCTCATGAGCAGCAGCAGTAGTGATGCCCAGCTAAAGGCCCAGTTGCAAAACTATTTCAAGCAAAAAGAACGCTCAGAAACGCCCCCACCACCGCCTCCATCTGCACCCACTACAATGCGCAAACAGCCTGCGGCATCAGCATCAACGTCGGCAGGAAGTTACAACCTAATGATGGGTCCAAGCACTTCAAAATACGCTGCCGCTGCAGCGGCTACTTTGGATGATGAGCAACCACCGCCAGCGCCCAAGTTTCATATGCAACAACAACAACAACAGCAACAGAAACTCTCTTTTCAAATTAAGAAGCGTCCCCTGCAGATGGACAAATTTGGCTTGCTACGTTTAGCCACGCCGCTCAGCTCCCATTCACAGAGTCGCAGTCGCAGTCGTTCGCCTAGACGACGCACTAGAAGCCGCTCACGTGACCGACGCTCATCCCGACGACGCGGCGGCAACTCTCGTTCTCGCAGTCGGAGCAGAAGTCGAAGTCGCTCGCGCTACTCGAGATCAAGAAGACGACGCACACGTAGTCGTAGCCAGAGTCGGAGTCGTAGTCGTAGTTATTCGCCCGCACGTTACGGTGGAGGAGGAGGTGGTGCTGGAGGACAACGATATAGAGGACGTGGATTTAAGCAACGCTTTGGGAATCGTCGTTCCCGCTCACGTTCCTATGGTCGAGCACGACGCACGCCGTCGCCATTTGTGCCTCGTCGTTCACCGTCGTCATATGTGCCACGTCGCACGCCCTCGCCGTTTGTGCCACGTCGCACACCGTCGCCAACTGCACGCTATCGACGCACTCGCTCGCGATCACGCACCTATAGTCCACGGCGCCATCAGCCCATGCGTTTTACGCCGCGCGGTCGGGGGCGTGGCCGCGGACGTTTTCAAAATCGCTGGCAGTTCGACAACCGCAATAATGGTCGACGTTTTAGTCCTACACGGAGCGTAAGCCCACCTGGCGATGGACCCACCATTGAAGAGGTGGACGAAATGATCAAAGAAGCACAAAAGGAACGCAAACAAGGCATTATTGAAAGCGACAGGGATATACTGAAAAAGAAAGTCACAAACACACCCAGTGACAAGGCCTAAATATTAAAGTTCTGGCACATCTAGTGTTAAGTGTTTCTTTCTACGTAGTTCTATGTATGCTTAATAACCACTCAAAATGTAATTGATATCACCTTAAACTCAACCATGGACACCAAAATAAAGTTGCTTATAAAGCAAATTTGTTGCATGGTCTGCATGCTTTACAAATAAAGAGGAAATCCTACAATGAATTATTGTAATATGTCTCGATATAAAGTTAAACGGGTTAAAAGTCATCTTCTTTATAGTGTCATTTATAGATAACAGCAAAGGTAATTTTTTTTAATAAAACAAATATTTCTTTTTTAATACAGAGACATGGACGCTCGAATGTGAACTTTTCGGAATTTATGTTAAGTGTTATATATTAAATTTAAAAATATATTTTTAACATCAATACTTGATTATTTTTTTCTTTATGTAATTCAACTGATTTTTTAATTTTCGATCTTCTACTAAATACTCTGTATACTTCATATCATTCGATAACTTCGACTTAAGCGTAGAAATACTACTGAATTCGTATTGTAGCAATTATGTTTAAAATAACATTGTCAATTCGCGTATATGCCTTTCAGTATTTGTTTAGAGGGTATGTCTGAGAATCGTTACCGATATCAACAGTTGATACATTTTATTGTATTCTTAGCTTACTGTTCACATATTATTTCTATTAATAACAACGCGTGCTGCGCTCCTCTCACGAACTCTTACAACCACAACAAACAAACTGTGATTGCTCAAACCGGCTGCGCTCTCTTATGCACTCATACATATAGCACCCAAAACAACAAAGAGCGCGAGAGTGGCGTAGACTTTTGATGTATTAGTGCACCACAGTTATTGCAGTCGCCTAACAGAAAATCGTATAAGCAACGCGCATAAAAAGTCTGGACACAAAACGAAGTTCAAACCGAGCCCGAGATAAAGCGTGTACCCCCTTTCGAATTCAGTTGATATTTGCCTGCCGGCAGCAGCAGAAGCAGATTTTGATACCCACATCTGTGGGGGAATGTGTGTGTCTGATTGTGTGCCTATGTTTGTGTGTATATTTGTTAGCGCACAAGACTTTGATTTAGAATAATACGCAACAAATTATTATAATTAGTACGTGAGTTTAAATTAAATTCGAATAATCAAGCGTAACAGGTAGTGAAATACATTTAGTGAATATTATAACAAAATCTAAAATTTAAAAACAATATTTAAGTAAGTAAAATAAGGAAGCATTCCTAATTTACATAAGTGTTTAATTTTCATCCAATACGAAATGCGAAAGAACGTGAAGAGCAAAAATGCAAGATAATTGCGAAAATAAAATTAAGGTACCGAGCAAATCAACACGCGGCGACATGGGCTTTTATTTGGACTTTGAACGATAAGAGCGCACCCACCACAACAACAAGAATAGCTAGACACAATAAAAACAACAACTACAAGACAAAGAACTTGAAAAAAAGCCACGCTTGTAGTTGTTGTTGTGTATGCGCTACACTGTGGTTGCCATGTGGAGACTTATGGGCACGCAAAGGCCATACGTACGTCAGACCGAAAAACAAAATAAAGATTAGCACATTTATGATTTGTTATTAAATAGTAAGGGTTATCTAATGTCTAAAATAATATTTAAGCCAGCTAATGTACTAATATTGTATTTATATAAGAAGTGAACAGAAAATATATTCTTAACACCTCGCTTGATAAACAAATTAGTAAGAATTTAACGTTGTGAACAGTTTCCAGGTAGCTTTACAAATTTTATTTATTTTACCTATTAATATCGAGACTCGAGAAGAAAAATATTATTCAATTATAACAAGAAAACACAGTAGTTCTCTTGAGGCATTACCAAAAAAGACAAATAATAAGCATGCAAGTAAACTCATTTCTTTTCTTTTTTCAGCGAACGCTCATTAAAAATATAATTAATTCATTATGTATACGAAAATCTTTCGTGCTGTGATAATCGGCGCTCCCGGCTCTGGAAAAGGCACCATCTCGGATCGTATTGTCAAGACTTTTGGGTTTCTCCACATCGCCTCGGGAGATATTCTACGTCAGAATATCATCAAAAATACCGATCTGGGCAAGAAGGCACAACAGTATATTGCCTCCGGCCAGTTGGTGCCAGATGAGATTGTGACGAAGACAATGATCGCCCGTATCACCGAAGTCGGCAACAAGTCCTACATTTTGGATGGTTTTCCACGCAACAGTGCCCAAGCCGATATATTGTCGGCACGTGAACAAATCGATGCTGTTATCAACTTGGACATTCCACATGATGTAATCATTGAGCGTGTAAAGCATCGCTGGATACACGCTCCATCGGGGCGTGTCTACAATATAGGTTTCAACGATCCCAAGATAGCGGGTAAGGATGATGTGACCGGTGAACCGCTTACCCAACGAGAGGACGACAAACCGGAGGTGGTGTCTAAGCGTTTGCAACTCTACGATGAGCTCATGGGTCCCGTGCTAGCCTGGTATGCTGAACGTGATCTTGTAACCAGTTTCAAGGGACGCGAAACCAAGGAGATCTGGCCTCGCGTCGAGCGCTTTCTCAAGGATAAAGTCAACATGGGTTAAGAGTAGTAGGGCATTAAGAAAACAACGAAACAAACAGTTCAATTAACTGCACAAATTTATTCATTATTGATAGGCAACTGTTGCTAACGAGAAGTAAGATGTGTTCAATTAAGGTCTAACATATATATTAAATATATCTATTATGTGTGCGTTAGAGTGGGGCCTTTAAGGAGGGGGTTTACGGTTCATTGTAACTCATCAAATGTAATTTCGAAGCCTTACAAAGTAAAAACGAATCAAAAAAAATAAATGTGTCCAAATGTATATTTCCTTTGCCATACACATGTGTATACACTGATTATGAGCTATATAACCCATCCAAAACATTCCCCTAATAAAAATGTTTTGCTTTGATATGAATATTATATATATATACATATACTTATACTTAAATATATGTACTTGTATAAACGCTTTCAAGTAGGTGCTCTGATAATAAATCGTTCTTTTTTGTTTTGTAAAAATGCTCATTGATAATGTACTTGGTGATTTGCACATGGAGCCATAATAGATATGGCAAAATACTATTTTTAGATATTAGAAACATTAAAGCTTGTGTGGCTTCATTTATGCGCCACACTCAAACGCCTTGATTGTTGCCGTGTAGGGTACAGCAGCTGTTAAGTGTGGCGCTCTCGAACTCTCTCTCTCACGCAAACACACACAACAGAGACAAATCGAGTATATAATAATGAAGTTAACCAAGCAAATAGAAGCCATAGTGCTCTGTATTCATCTCTTTGCTTGCGTTGAAAGATTAACTACGATTTGTGTGGGTTAGTTTTATTTTTTAATGATATTTTGTAAAGTCTAAACAGAAGAATGCGACCGATTAAGCTGATGACAATAACAAACAAAAACAGCAAACTAGGCTAACTACTGCTTTGATGAAAGCAGCTGCCAAAATAATTGCAGTAATAACTTCTTTATAGTGATACCACATATATTGGCGTAAATTATAAGTGTATACGAATAGATAAATGTAATGTTTTTGTTCTGTTGCAAATCGCGGGGCGCTTGACTTCTTCCGATTACATTCACTTACTACTTCAATGCACAGAAATTTTGGTAAGAAATGTTGCTTTAAGTCATATACATTTTTCTAGCCTGCACTGTATTCAGAGAAAAAGCTCTCTTCATTATTACGGCATTTTTAGCACACACATACCCACACGGACATATAGAGGGAGAACGCTTACTAGTACACTACATCTGCACCCTGCGCGCCGCTCTCTAAATGAACCCGCGCGTAACATTTCCTGAAACAAATGACCCCACAAACAAGAAGAGCAATTGCCGAATGCAGGCAATTGAGCACCTATCGATGAATAATGCTGAATTGAAAGAATTTACAATCACAATCCAAGTGCAATTATACGTAAAAATAAAAAATGGCTTTGACTAACTGACGGTTTTCGGTTGTGCTGCAGTAAAACATCTTCTTTGTTTATGCCAATGCGGCCATAACGAAACTATGATGACAATGGACACAACAAAGTCAGAAAACTTCACTACTGACCGCAAATTGTGGTCTAACAGGGCCTGACTCATATATGAAGCAAGCCCCGCTTGCGAAATAATGAATAAGAGCAATAACAATGTAAATTTACCTCGTATTTTGGTACGCTTGTTGAGATTCATCCAAATCTCGCCACGAATGACCTGGCCGGCATAAAAAATGCGTTCTGGATTGTCCAGTCGAATGCATAGTCGCTCGCTTTCCATGCTGCTGCTGCTGCTACTTCAGCTGCTCTCATTAAATACTCATCCAAAAATAACATATAAAAGGCCACATTTGAGCGGCCTCTTTGGTATCACTGTGCACAACTACAACTACAACACTATATTCTTTTTATCCAATGTGATAAGTTGAGCACAACACTTCAACTGACAATGTAGGGTAGGACGTTAATTTCATTTACGAGCACTATGGTCCGTTTCAATTAAATTAATCACGGCAAATATTTTTAATAATTCAAGAAAAGTAACTAGAAACGTTGTTGCTTTTGTTTTACCTTACCAAACGATACCGATTAACGATAACATTAACAAATCAGCTGATTTTAAACTGGCATAGCGTTGCCACCAGGTACACAGGTGACGCGCTAAAAGTTTACATTTAAAAATTAGATAAGCCACTCATTTTTGCAAAGAAACAATTCATTTCTATATTTTGCTCTTAACCAAAATTAGTACTTAATCGCAGAACTATAGTTTCTTATCGGGTAAATACCCGTTTATACAAAGAATAGCGCACGCACACAATTCGCACTCTAAGCGTTAAAGCATATGATAATTTATTAATCGGATTCTGCTTTAGTATTAATTTGTAACTGCTCGCGTTCAGTGGTCGTGGTCGTGGACGCAACGCATCAGTTGGTGATTGTGCCCTCGCCTGCTAAATTGTGTTCCGGGTCGCTTGCCACAGTCAATAAAATTATAAACATTCCAACAGAAAAGGTAACGCCTGTTGTTACCAAGGTCACGAAAGGATGAGCAGCAAAGTGAATTTTAGCTTCGATAACGTCCTGGGTGTCTACTATGCTGGTCAGATCGTATCTGGCACAGCAGAACTCATTACAGAGCGACCCAAAACCATACGTTGTAAGTTCTTTGCTTAAATACGCATATATTATTTCATTGTGGCTAGCATGACGTCATGTTGCCCCTACTCCGCAGATAAAATGCTCTGGGTCTACGTCTTTGGCCTGGGGCCTGGTGCAGACGCTACATTAGTATTCAAGCCGTCATAGTTGTTTTTGTTATTATTGTTTCGCTGCCTTTGCTATGTGTGTATATCTTGTGTATTGTGCCGGCAGCTAATGTTCACAAATACATATATATATATATATATATATGATTATGTGTCGGTTATTTAATATTGTAGCGAGAGTATAAAGTAAAAAAAAACTAGTTTTTCTTGGAATTATACATATGCTTGATGTTTGTTATAGGCATTGGGCATTTGAGTCGGCTCGGCTAGTGGTGTACTTTGATTTGTAAATGAACAATTCGCTAAGGCATCATGAAAATTGAAATAACAGAGCTAAGAACTTGAATAGTTATAGCAAAAGTAAGTTTCAGTATTTCCGCTGGCCGTCTAAAATTAAGCGCAATAAATGATAGCAAAATTATGCTGGTTTTAGACTGGTTTTCGAATATAATTTGATTCTATAAAAAGTCAGGGCAGTTCAGACAAAAACGAATTAAACACAATTGAATTCGACTGAAACGTAGCTTGATCTGTGCTTCGCCCACATTGCATGCAGCTTAATAGTATTACAAAGAAATTAAGTCCAATTACTCAATGCCCACAATTTACTCTCTTTTGCTTCTCTTGCAGCCATCTATATAACCGTGAATGGTTTCGTGGAGACGCGTTGGCAGGAGAGTGTCGAAAAGACTGGTGCTGATGGCAAGCCGGTTAAATCACTCGAAACATATACCACCACGGAGATCTTCTATAGCAGCGATAAGTATGTGTATGGCCAGAGCGGAGGATCGCAGCTGGAGCTGCCCCAGGGCAAGTATGTCTTTCCCTTTCAAGCCACTATACCTCCCCAAACGCCGACCTCTTTCAATGGCACACACGGACAGATAAAGCATGAGGTGACCTTGACCATAGATCGAGCGGTGCGATATAATAATATATTCAAGCAGTGCTTTACGGTCATACTGCCCAACGATTTGAACGTAAAGCGCGAGCATTTGGTATGTTTATCATGAAATGGGATGCCATAAATTAACTAATCCTAGTCCGCACCTTTTAGCAACCGTTGAAGCGAATCGAGGAGAAAACGTTTTGGTGGGGCTCCATATTTGGCAATAATAAGCCCATGGTAATGGATGTCAGCACCTCATACAGCGCCTATGTGCCTGGCCAGAAGATCCACTTTCACATTGTGCTGGACAATCAAGCAGACGTTCAGTGCCAGGATGTGAAAGTGCGTCTATTCAAGAACGTCATCTATCGCGGCAAAGCGGGCGATAAGGACCAATTGAAAACCACGGAGACACGCATTGCCGATAAGCACTGTGGCGAGGTGGATAAGAATAATAAGGCACAATTCGATGAGTTTTTATTGGTGCCGCCCACAACTCCGACAACAATGAGCGAACGAGACCCGATTCGAGTGAATTACACACTTCGTTTTATAGCCAAGACATTCCGCTTACATGGCGGCGGAGATATGGTTGTGGACTTTCCACTGGTCATTGGAACAGTGCCATTGCAGGGCAGTGCAGACGACAAGGGACCAGGCCAGAAGGCACAGGCACCGAGCACAAACGGCCCCTATCAGACAATGAGTAAGCAGCATCTGTACATAAAATGTAGCTATTTTTAAATTATTCCTTGACCTTTATCCTTAGCTGCACCGAATTTCCAAGAGGACGTGTGCACAGAACACTTTGAGTCCAACACATATAAGCCACGCTATCCAGTTTACATACTCAATGGTCAGCCAGCCGGTGGCAATAGTGGTAAATCGTCTTTGCCCAGTCTTTACCCAAAGGCCGAGGATACACCGCCTGCACCACCAGTACATTACACACCTAATCCAGTTTTGCCAGTGGGAAAACCGTCGGCAATAGTTCAAAAGACGCCGCCATATCCAGTGCAAGCCCCAGCAGCTGTGCCAGCTGTTGGCAACAATTTTGAAGTACTCGGATTTAGTATACCGCCGGGCTATCAGCCCACACCCAGTGCACCGACTGATGCTGCTGGCAATATTGGTTGGAAGTAGTTATTGTGTAAACTATATATTTATATTTTTAGATGCACTTTTTATGAAGTTTAAAATAGATACTCGCGGGCACACAGCAAGTGGCAACGCTGAAATAAATAAAAAATATCGATATATCGGTAAAAAGCTCAAGTAGTGTCACTTTCATTTTTCAGCTGGTTCGCACGGCAACAGCTGTTTGTGGCATGCACTTGACGTAACTTAAGGCCAAGTTTTGTTTTGTTTGAATTTAGTTGTAGCCGAAAAGCGTTTCAAAACCGGTTTGTAGTCTTTCACATAAACTGCAGCAACATCACCGAGCGTCAACATACAGTTGTTTCTCATACAGTCACAAACGCTGAGCAAAAGAAAGTTTTGACGCAATAACATGGCCGTTACTTGTAATTTGTAATGAAGAAGCGTCGTCGTCGTGCGGCCGCGCAGCTCAACAGTTACCGCTGCACTCTGACAGCGAACAGTCGAATATATTGACGAGCTACTTAACTGAATTTTTGGCATAGTTGTAAGGTGAGCAATACCGTTTTCTGGCATGCATATCAAATGCAATGGCTTTATGTTTGTTTTGTGACCAATAGCATCAGCCCTGCCAACCAGACAAGACAACAGCCACAACAACAATAAAAGAGAAATTGCTGATAAGACGATAAACAGTGACCCATCTCTGAATGAATGAAAGAATCTGTGTACCAAGTTTAACTGAAACCTGTGTTAAAATTGGCGCGCAGGAGAATGTAGAGAAACTGAAAATAAGTACAATCCCAGCCATATAAGGGTACTCAGGTTGAAAGATACGATTAAAGCGTGCTCCAGTGGGCATGACACCTTGTAAGTAGGGCCTTTGATCTCAATTGTATCGCATCATTATTTCACACATTAATTTGGCAATAATTTGGTGACTATGCAAAACCCATTGGCGCGGGCACACCTTGAATTGCTTTTCAGTAGAGCGACGACAGAGCTCAAAAACTATTTTGTTTGTCTAACAGCAAATTAATTCCGCTGTTGTTGTTTATATGATTTACAGACATGCCATTGAAGACGCAAACTCAAACGAAGACGCAGCCACAGCAATAAAAGTGAAATCGCACACTCACAAGCACTTTCATTGACATCGGTCGAGCTAGCGCGAATAGAGAGCGATCAATATGACGCCGGCAGTAACAGGCAGCACAACATGTACCAAGCCCACAAGCCCAACGGTCAGTCAGCGGCGCAAGCACAGCGCACGTGAGCAACTGCAGCAAATAATTGCCGGTGGACTATCAGCAGCTATAACGCGTTCCACTTGCCAGCCCCTGGATGTACTCAAAATCCGTTTTCAGCTGCAGGTGGAGCCGTTCAAGGCAGCTGTTCCATCAATGCAGCCGTCTTCCAAAAGTTACCTTCCACTGCATTCCTCCAAATACACATCCATACATCAAGCTGTGCGCACCATTTATCGGGAGGAAGGACTATTGGCCTTCTGGAAGGGTCATAATCCCGCCCAAGTGCTGAGTATTATGTACGGGATTTGTCAGTTCTGGACTTACGAGCAGCTAAGCCTTCTGGCCAAGCAAACCACTTACCTCAAGGATCATCAGCATCTTTCAAATTTCATATGCGGAGCTTCTGCTGGAGCGGCAGCAGTTATAATTTCCACGCCGTTAGATGTCATACGGACACGCCTTATCGCACAGGATACTAGCAAAGGATATCGGTAACTTACACATCTATTTCATATTCATATTCATATAAATATATATGGATAATGATTCGTTTTGCAGAAATGCAACACGTGCCGTCACTGCCATTGTGCGACACGAGGGAATCCGCGGCATGTATCGAGGCTTATCGTCGGCCCTCTTGCAAATCGCCCCCTTGATGGGCACCAACTTTATGGCTTATCGTTTGTTTAGCGAGTCGGCATGCAACTTTTTTGAAGTGGAAGATCGTACCAAGCTGCCTACTTGGACACTCTTGATGCTGGGCGCTTCATCGGGCATGCTGTCGAAAACAATTGTCTATCCCTTTGACTTGGTTAAAAAGCGTCTGCAAATCCAAGGCTTTGAGCAGAACCGCCAAACATTCGGACAAACACTAAAGTGCAATGGAGTTTGGGATTGTCTGCAGCTGACGGTGCGGCAGGAGGGTGTACGGGGTCTCTACAAAGGTGTTGCTCCCACGCTCCTGAAATCTAGCATGACGACGGCATTGTATTTTAGTATTTACGACAAGCTAAAACAGGTGCGCTTCTGGTAGGTGCTACGGAACAATCTTTTTCTATTTAACAATTAAGTAGTGAAACAGTTCACAGCACAGAATCTATTTTTTATATGCAATTTACAATGAATGCTGTAAATGATATTAAGCATAGTGTCTCTGTTAATTAGTTATTAGCACGGGTTTGTTTTATGTTTATAAGATAGTTTATAGTTAATACCATGCGCTAATTCGTTATGCACAAATGCATAAATGATATAGTAATTGTGCTATTGTCTTTATTTAAATTGACTTTTCGACACTGAATATAAATGCTCTTATTTGTATTTAATGTTTCACAAGAATCGAAATATAATTTTTCACAATGTTCAATAAAACTGGTTTGTTAACTCACGCTGAAAATTGAAAATTGTTCATTATCTGAATGTTTATATATTTAATTTTTAAAAAAATATACAGTAAAAAATATATAGTAAAAAATCTGGTTCATAAATGAATATAATGTAAAATATAAGAGTAGGTAATTGGGAGTCATTTAGATTTTTGTTATTTGAGAGGGTATTTAACTGCTCAGCATTAGCTTAGTTCAGCTATTTTGTAAAAGCTTTACTGATTAACTTAAATGCTCCGATTCATTCATTCAGTTACTATCTGCTTTTGTTTAGCCTAAACCCGTAAAATGATATACTACATTTACGTGATGATGGCAAGGTGGAAATTGAATTAACGATATGATAATTGTTCAACTACGAAATGTTCTAAAAATATTTCACAAATTCTTGCTGATTACTATTTTGAACGGCATCACAAAGAACTCAATCGATGGACAAGCTTGATAGAAAAATTATCTGAAGAATATTCAGAAAACATAGTTTAATCTACAAGATATATCTACAATAAGCAGTCTTCATCAGTCGTTGACTATAGACGATTTCGGTAGCTATCGCGCGAACGTACCACCTCGACTCTAAATAGTCTCATATATAACATGCAAATGCTGTTCAGCTACAAATATTTAAAGGATTTCAGTGAGCGGTTTCTGCAGAGAAATTTATTTCTGGCTGTTGTTCAGCTACAAATATTTAAAGGATTTCAGTGAGCGGTTTCTGCAGAGAAATTTATTTCTGGCTGTTGTCTTAGGCTATATTCGGAAGTTAGATTTGACGGCAATAAATTTATATTACCTGAGAGAACAGAGCTCTGCAATTGGGCAAGCTACGAAAACTGTCTAAGATGCTGACCAATGAAGATGTGAAGATTGTAATTGTAAATAAAGCAGACAATTACTTAGGCTTAGATGTTGCAAGTTGGACGAGGATTGATAGTTTTCAAGCTGCTGTAGCGTTTGCAACGCACCGATCAGATGGCTGGGAGTCTAAATTCCAGGGCAGCCTAGATACAACGCAGGACTACCTGCGTTATATAGCCCAAGGTAGAGACCTGGAATTGAGACAGTCTCGGAACACAAGCTCAACTTTATACGTTATTTGTATGAATAAATAAAAATGTGATTAAAATAATGGATTAATTATTTTATTTACCTAAATACCAAAACGTATATTCAGGTTCAACTTTATGTTGGCTTAGGCAATAACCTTAGTTGTTAGTGTTGTTTATAAATAATAGAGATAGTTTATAACTGTAGCTGAGAGTTTCGGATGCAAGATAACCCGTTTAAGAAAATATGTTAAAAATGTATGAAATCCAAATCGCTAACATACAAATACTTGAATCGATACAAAAGCAAACAATTTTACATGTTGATAGATAAAAAGAATGAGAGTCACATGTAAACATAATGTATGTGTGCATTTACTTATGTTTTATGTACATATGATATCTGTTGTGCGAAAGTTTTTAGATTCTTCCAACTGAAATTCAAAGCTGCTGCCTATTTCATCAGCCTTCTAGAAACATTCGTATGAATCAAGCAGTATATGATTAACTCTTACTGTGTTCACAGTTGGTATCGTTGGGCAACAAACATATTCGTTACATTGAATGGAATACATATGTGAATGGATATAGATATTGAATAAAATGGAATGTATATGTGGCTATAGACCTTATCCGCCAAACTACAACAGTTGGCTATCGCCGCTCCATGCTGAGCGACTGAAACGACTTGATAGCAAAAGTATGCTTAAATTGAAATTGGAAAAGAGGCCAATGTTAATAGCTCTGCATTTGTTTGCCGACGATGCGGATAGACTGAAGCATTGGCTGGATATGATTTATGAAGTGGCAGCTCCAGAATTGTTTGGCAAGCAAATGGAATTCTTCGTTGATGACATTTGGGCATCATATATATTTAATTTGAACACATGGGGTATTAAGCGCTGTGATAGCAGTTTCTCCACACAATCAGCCCCACTGATTTTTGGTGTTACTGCTTCTGGGGTAGTCCATTTCTTTGGTACAGCCCAAGGTCCGCAAAAACCCAGCTTGAGAAAGCTTCAGTCATTTTGTAAGCAAATATTAAGTGAGTCTTTGGTACAACATTTAAAACTGGAAGATAAATGCCAAGTGCCCGAAGTAGACTTGACCATCTTTAATGAACTGATTTATGGCGAATATGATGCAGATATAATAATTTGCTTTTATACTACACTGCAGAGAGAAACGGGCGTGGGTAACAGCTTTATAGAAGATATTCAAGGACTTGCTGCCAAACTGAATCATGAAAAAGTTAAGATATTTAAAATGAATCTTGAAACAAATAGAGCACCCAAGAATTTCAATATAGAAAAATTACCTACAATGTTTATTCTCCCTCGAGCTCAAAAATTTAATCCCATATGCTGTTACGATATTTCACATGGCATCGATACTATGCTCCGATACAGTGCGCCGCACTTTACCGAAGATTTGTACTTTTATTATCGAAACGGTCGGCGTAAGTTGCACGCAGAGCTGCTCTGGCGAATTGATCACTATTTTAAGGAAGAAAACATTTACTTATTACAACTTAATTTATGATGGTATAAAAATAAAAAGCATACTAATCGATTAAACGATACGATATCGATACTTTGTAAAGTTTAAAAGATCAACATGCAAAAATTACAATCAAAACACGAGACAAAGCACGCAATTTTACTTAATCACCGGGAATTAATAAATAAAGCCTACGTCGCTGGAGTATCTGACTATGAAATATATGCACTAAAATCAGAGTTGTTTCAATTTCATCCAAAATTAACCGAAAAGTCACAGCAAGACCAAAGAAAACGCAAACGCAAGTTGAATGAAGCAGCACATAATGCATCAGTGGACAACATTGCCGAGTACATGGAGAATCTGCCCGAGGCCAAAATGGACAATGTTTCACCACTGCCACGCTATTGGGAAGACGAGTACGAAATGCCTCAGCTGTATGGCAGTAATCTAAGCAGTAAATTTCAAAAGTATCAAAAGGAGGAAAAGACTACCAGAACTTTCATCATACCGCATTCATCCCACTTTTACAATCATAATGTGGATCAGCTAACCACATTATTGCCACAGCTGTTGCCCAGCTATGATTTAATTGTGATTGACCCACCCTGGCGCAATAAGTATATACGTCGTATAAAACGCGCCAAACACGAGCTAGGCTATGCCATGATGGACAATAACCAATTGGCACAGTTGCCGCTCAACCAACTCACGCATGAACGTACATTAGTAGCCATTTGGTGCACGAACTCCAACATACATCAGACGATGCTAGAAACAGAGCTTCTGCCTCGTTGGCAATTACGTTTACTACATAAACTGCGATGGTACAAGCTGAATACGGCGAATAGACTCATTGGCAAATTAAATCAAACGGATGCCACACAAAAACAGCCGTATGAGCAACTTTATTTGGCTTGCCATGCGCGGAGTGATGTGACATATGCCACAAATTTGACACAAACTGAACTGCTGCTCAGCGTGCCAAGCATTGTGCACTCACACAAACCGCCTTTGCTGGATTGGTTGCGTCCACATTTGCAGCTTGAACAAGATCAAGTTGAGCCCAATTGCTTGGAGTTGTTCGCTCGCTATTTGCAGCCTCAATTCACGTCTATTGGCTTGGAGGTACTGAAGCTAATGGATGATCGGTTGTATGACCAAATAATAAAGAAAAGTCAATGATACAAAAATTTAACATTGATTTTTTTTGTGTTAGATACCGACCGCAGGATTTCTGAATTATTTTTGTTTTATCGTATTTATTTGTGTACTGTTAATGAGAGAAAATGCAACAATAATTTTGTATGTGAAGGAGCTGGCGAAATGTTAGACATTTGTGTAGTGTGTGTGTGTTGATTTTGTTTGTGTTAAATTAAGTATTAAAATATTAAGAATTATTAATACACATGTATTGGTTGTTCTTTGCCTACTCATGACCCTGAGCCATGGCTGCCGGATTAGTTGGTTCGTTGCCGCCACGCTTCTTTGATCCAGATACAATATCATCGATACGCAGCAGAAGAATAGCAGTCTCCACTGCAGTTTTGTAGGTCTGCAACTTGACGGCAAGTGGCTCCCAAATGTTTTTCTCATTCATGTCAACAATTTCACCAGATTCGCCATCAATGCCCCAAGCACAGACTCCAGCGCCAGTGTGGGAGGCGTGCTTGGCACGCAGGGCGGTCAACGCGCGAATAGTATTGGCGCCGCAATTCTGGGCAAGTGTGCGTGGTATAATTTCTAAAGCATGCGCTACGGCAGTGTAGGGTCCTTTTACTTGCTTACGTGTTAGCAGCTGGGAGGCTGCCATTTCGACAGCACCACCGCCAGCTACAAGACGTGGCTCAAGGACAAGATTGCGTGCCACGTGCAGAGCATCCTGCAGATTACGCTCAGTTTCATTGAGTATGTCCTTGCTGGCGCCTCGCAGCAATATGGTGCAGGCCTTGGGTTCCTTGCATTGTGTGACAAACGTGAAATACTCGTCACCAATTTTCTTGATCTCAAATAGTCCGGCACCAGTGCCGACATCCTTCTCCGTCAGCTCCTCAGTTCGGTTTACAATGGTAGCACCGCAGGCGCGAGCAATACGCAAGTTGTCCGTTTTGCGTAGACGACGAATAGCAGTAATGCCCGCCTTTAGTAAATAATGCTGCGCCAGATCAGATACACCCTTTTCGGTAAACACCAGATCCGGTTTGACGGCAATTATATCAGCACAGACGCGCTGTACAAACTCTTCTTCTATTTGCAGCATGCGCGTAAAGTCCTGTTCGCCAATGATTTCAACGTTTGTCTGGCTCTCGCCCTTTTTGTATTCCAGTGAGCAATCCAACAGCACAATGCGTGGATTCTCTATGTAGCGACGCATTTTGGGATGGGTCACGTCCTTGTTGAGCATAACACCCCTCAGCACACAGGAGTCTTCGATAGCACCACCGGGAATCTTCTCCACCTTTGCATAGCTATCGAAATTATGAAATAAAATAAATGTTTACTCCAGATCCTTCTACTTCAACTACATACCGCTTAATGTCCACCTCCAATCGTCCATTCTCATTCAACGTAACAGTCTCAACAGCATCCAAAGCAATCTTAACAGCCATATCAGACCACTTGCCTATGAATTTGGTGCCAACGCAGGCCTTAACGACATCAGCCATTTTAGCTTTATCCTTGACATCCAACTGGACACTCAAATCAGACTGCAAATGATTAACAATGTCTTCGAGCGCTTCCCGATAGGCACGAATTATCACTGTTGGGTGGATTTGCTGTTGCAGGAATGGTTCGGCAGCGGCTAGCATCTCCCCAGCCAGGACAATTACAGAGGTGGTACCATCACCAACCTCCTCATCCTGTGTGCGAGCAATCTCAATCATGCTCTTGGCCGCAGGATGCTGCACAGTAATTTCACGCAATATTGCATTGCCATCGTTGGTCATCACGATTCCGCCCATTGGATCCATAAGCATTTTAAGCATGGCCTGGGGACCCAAGCATGTGCGTATCACATCAGCAATAGCCTGAAATTATTAATAATTTTACAATCTTGTAAACAGATGGCCAAAATTGCACGACAGCCGCATGAGACATGTGAGTCACAAGCATTACACACATACGATCTCACTCACACACATACCTTTCCGGCTTGAATATTCTCCAACTGCACTTTGCGGCCCGATTCTCTTTTTGTGTTTTGACCTTAACGATAAGAATAAGTTAGTATATTAACTTAGTTCAATGCAAATTTAACGCTTACTCAACACGAGTATTGGTTGCTGTCCACCAAACATGATTATTGATATTTTTAATTAATTTCAAAGGGAAAATAATAGAACTCGTGCCTCGCGTTTTGCTGTTGCCGCTGTTTGAAAGAGAATGAGTGACATTTATTTTTGAGGTTAGAAACGCTGACACACGATTCGAGAAGATTCGATAACACATATTTTTGTTAGTGTTTAATTATTGATCAATATTAATAAATATTATTATTCAGACAGCACCTACACAAATTATGTATTATTTAAAATTAAAATGTTGCAAGACAGAAATATTTTAATTGGGCAGCGCCAAATTGCTGACTCTATATCGATAGCTAGTCGATATCATTACACACATTGGCAACACTATAATCGCAGCTGTTGCATTATTGTTTATAAACGTTTTGTGTAAAATGCACGCCATGGATACAAAAAAGATATCCTTTGGTTTTAGCAAGGTGGCTAAAAAGCCAAATATATTACCCAGCAAAGCGACAAAAGAAGAAAACAAAGTAGAGCTAATAAAATGCCTCGAAGGCAAGGAAATAAAGCTTGTCGCGTAAGTAAACAATATTTGTAATACAATGTAAAACTTATTGTTTATTCAATGTTTCTAGTGAAAAACAAGAAGTTGCGCCACTTGTCATACAAATGCCCACTATTCAGAAAACTTCCACTGCGTTGGCAAGTCTAATGAAACGTCGCGCTGTTTTGATGGGCGAAGAAGACGTAGACCCCGAAGAGTCCAATGCCGAACCCCAATCTATAGCTGAAGTAACTACTAATGGTGAGACTGTCAACTTAGAGCAAAGAGCCGCACGCGAACTGCTTGAAGCCGCTGCGAACGAAAATGGCAACGATGTAATGGATAGTGAAAAGCTTGTATTACCGGCTTTAAAAGCTGATGAGTTGCCGCTGGATGGTGCCAAAGAAGCAACCTTAGATGACTATGACTCAATACCTATACAGCAATTTGGTCTGGCGATGCTACGCGGTATGGGCTGGGTGGATCCGCCGCCTAAGAAAAAGGGCGCTGTTCCGGTAGATGAGGCTCCATTTTTGCGACCCAAAGGCATGGGCTTAGGCGCTGACAAAGCTTTGAAACCAAAAGCGTTGCTGGTGCAGCCCGAGAGAAATGAAATATTGGAAATTAAGAAACAAGCTTATGTGCGCATCTTAGGTGGCAAGCAAAAAGATCAGTATGGACAGATTGAGGGCTTTGACGATCATGCTGGTCGTGTGATTGTTAAAATGGCAATTGGAGGTAACAAAGAAGCATTTAATGAGTTTCTTTGCCAGCCCGTCTCTCGCAAAGAATATTCACAGTATGGCAAGTGCATAAGTAAGTGGTAACTACATAAAACTAAGCACAGACTAAGTGAAATAAAATTAATATTAGTTCCCATTATTTGCAGATACAGCCAAATATGAAGAGTTTAAAAAGCACGAAAACGAGCATGGCCAAATAATTATAAAGCGGGAAAAGTCAACAGAGAGAATCAGTGTAAAGACGGACAGTCGGAATAGACAACGAGAGGAGGAACGCAAAATGCATAGAACAAAAGACGAAGAACGGAAGTCTTGTAAAAAAGACAAAGACTACATAGACAAATGCAGCACATCCTTCAAAAGAGAGGAACGTAATCCTTATAGGACAGAAGAGCGGGGAAGAGATGAATCCAGCAGAAGTAGTCGTTACCAAGACCGTGGTCAGGATTCTCTCACAAGTAGCAGCACATCTAAATCAGGTAGTCGAAGACGCCAGCAAAGCAGCTCAGACGAAGCCGACGATACAGACGAATCAACAGAAAGTGATTCTGATTCCGCTTACGAGCGCAAGTACAAAAGGAAGTCAAAAACTGGGAACAGCAACAGTAAATCCAAGAAAAGGAAGTCAAAGAAAACAAAAAGTAAATCGCACCGAAATCGCCGTTCCTCAAGTACTAGCGAGGATAGCGATAGCAGCACGGACGAAAGGACACGACGACGTCATCAAAAAAAGAAAACTAAAAAGAGTAAACATGCTCGTTCCCGCACCCGGTCTCGATCGCGTGATGGGCGTACGAAATAGTACAAAGAAACTCAGGTTACACAATTGTTGATTCATTCGAAAATTTATTTTAAACATTTATGTATTAGCAGAAGACGCATAGTTTTTCATGCTTATGTGGGATTATCATTAAATTTCAATCAACTCAATCACAAAAATGTCTTTCTTTGAGAAACTTTGGGGCCCATACAAACTTAGAGTTAGAAATGTGGTGATGTATAGGTTACCAAAATGCTTTATGTTTATGAATTTTTGCTAGTTATATGAATGATAATACTTTCAATATGCCCATTGCATACTTATATATTACGATATACTATATTTATTGATTAGGTTGTGTGAGATGGCAAGTAAATGACTTAGTTTTATATATTCGAATATGTGCTTTTTGGTCGAATATGAGGGATTGTGTGTATCTGGGTTTGATGATATTTATTTAATAGTCCATATAATAATTTAATAAACAAAAATTAGCGGTTTACTGAAGCTTCTTTTTGCCATATTGAATTTTATCATTAATTATCTTAGAAACTTTCTGGATAAGGGACTTGAAAACATCTTTTTCATTCAAGCCCGGCCACATAGCTACCAGTACCGTAGCACAATACATTAACAATAGATTATTAATGATGGCACCAATCCAGGCCAGAGCCAGTAGAGCCATGCTTATTATGATCACAACCTATGAAAAGATGTTTACAATAAAATTTCTTGTCTAGATCTATATGTACAAAGTGATTACCATTGTTGGCTTGCGCTCCTTGAACAGATAATCATACCAATCGACAATGCTTGATTTAATTTTATACAACTGTCCGCAAACGTCTTCAAATTTGGCCTCCTGTTCGCCATCCCAATTCCCACCATTGGCAACCAACCGTGACAGCATCGGAATAACAAAGTCCATAAAGAATGCCAGTAAGGCCAGCAAGGAGAATAGAGTTATAAAGGACAAATCCATATACCATAGCAACAGATACATGATACTGATGGCGCCAAAGACGACGCCGGCATAGTATTGTTTTTCCCAAGTAAGAACACCATATCCGCTTACAATGGCATTGCGAAATGGTTCCAGGTCGTGCTTTAGTTTGATTAGGGCACGCTTCTGTAAATTAATGAAAATTTTACTTTTCATGATGGCGGCAATTTCTTTGCGTGTGCGTATTACAAAAGTGCAAAGGAATCAGTTGGAATAACGGGTCCTCGCTTACCTGGTCAACTTGAGATGTTGTCATCTTTGTTTGTCGGATTTGATAAAACGTTTCCACGCCTTAGTTTTCTCGTATATATATTTATTCGATACAGTGGAGTTATAGTTAGTTTGGAAGAAAAATCAATTTGTTTGTGCAAGCTTCCAGTAAGGATGTAAAAAGCATCGATAGCGACGTTCGCTAAAGAAAAATATCGTTTTGACACACAGGTATGGCAGTACAATATATCGATATACTTGAGACAAATTGGGTGACACTGATAAAAGCTAATGAATTTGAGCAGTATGCGTGTAATTATTAAAATGTTACCGGAATATTTTAAAAACTAGTTGTAATTTTACTAAAAATAGGAGAGTGTGTGAGCTGTAAATGTCAATAAGAACTATTTAAAACTGATCAAGAACTACTTTAAATGATTTAATTTCTTAAAAATATTTAATAGCAAAAGCAACTGCTACTTTAAAATATTTTTAGAGAAGATACACCAACTAAGTATGCCCATGCGATACTTTTGAAAATGACTTGAAAAAAAAAACGATACAATTGTCAACGTTTTCTTGTTTTTCATTAGAATCCCAATTTTCAATTTATTAATAACACAATGAGTTGTCCAGGCTTTGGCGAAGTAAGAATTCCGTCTTCCCGCGCGTTCTGGGATGACTGCGAGGAGGACGAATTCGAAAGCATTGAGCCGGCCCCAAAGTGAGTTTGCAGTTCTTGATTGTTTATAACATGCTTTCACTGATTTAATATGTATATGTCTTTAACAGGTCGCAACTCAAATTTATGGATGGAACAGATGAAACACCATTTGCCAGTGATCTGTTAGTGCTTCTCGAGGGTCCATTCGTAACAGAGTTCAGCAGGGGTGCGTTGCTTGACGATGCAAAACTCATTTGTGAGATACCAGCAAAAAGTTCCACTTTGCATTGGAATGCCTCAAAAGGACAGCTGATAGCCACGCTGGAGGAGGATCTGACCAGCAGTGGCGAAATTACAGAGCTACTAATACCTTACGCACAACTAGCAAAGCGCGTATTAACCATCACCATAAAGCCCAAGGTGGACTACAAAAGCGAGGAGATTGACAGATACTGCGAATATGTAGCTATTGTGCACAGCATTGGTGGCAAGGGAGATGATAAAACTTTGAGCGAGCTAGAAGCACCCAACTTTATAGCTGGAGTGGCAGCAGGCAGTAAGTGTTTGAGTTTATCATGAAAAATCAGATTTAAGTTTCGGCGAATTCCTCGGTATTCCTCGGTAAATGTATTAATATATATTTCCCTACGATTTTTGCAGTTGCCAGCTGGCGTAATCAGATGGAATTACCTGTCAGCTCTTACGTTATATACACAGACAAACTGCCCCTGGATGTAATTGCTGCACAACCTGTGCTGAAGCTGCTACAGAAGATGGGCGTACCGTGCATTGAACGTTATTTACCACCAGCCAAGGATAGCTCCTACTTGTATATGTAAACAAAATGAACATAAGTGTTAGGTGGTTGTTTTTATTTAAATAAAAGGTTGGGGTTGCAAATGAAAATCAAACATCACAATTAATTTGCAAACCAGTACAAGGGTAGATTACTTTAATACTTCGAATATGCTCAAATTGAGTTCTTTGCTGCGTCGTTCCATGTGCGCCTTTGCAATAGCTATAAACTGTGGCCGCGAGAGCAACGAATAGGCGGGCACCAACAGCGAAGAGGCCAACATATGCAACTCTTTGTGACCACTGCTAAACAAATCAAGCCCCAGCTCCAAGGCCGTGCCAAAATCACATTCGTCCACAGCAATGTTTGCCGCATTAGCCAATGGCTGTAATTTCTCAAGCACTGCCTGTTTGGCATTATCGCTTCCATCGTTCAGATCTTTTCGCTCAAACAAAGCCAAAATTTTCTTAAGTTCTGCATCGCTGACCATAAGCGGCCGATAGCCTTGCTGCGACTTGCGCTCGTAGGGCACCACAATACCAGCCCGATGAAATGATTTGGTCACTACACGCTTATTCCGTTCAGTCTTCAAAATTTCAAGCTGCGACAATTCCAGCGAGTTATCACTGATATACTGTTTCGTTGCTTTCTTGATGGCAGCCACTTGGCCTGTTGTGAATGGCGTGCCCACATAATCATGCTGCAAATAGTGGAGGAACGCATCAAATATGTTGCCAGCCACAAATTCAAACTCACAGCTGCGTGTCGCATCATTGCGTGCCAGCATCAGTCGCTCTTTGTCCTGTGGCACATCGCGCCAGTAGCCATAGTGTATACCTGTGCCTTGACGAACAAATACGGTTTGAAACTCGGGCGGATCATAATAGAAACGCCAATGTCGCAAGTAGTCTCCTGGTTCACCTATTTTGGCTTTGTGAAATTTACCAGCCAAAAACTCGAAAGGACCGACCAACTGCAACTGAAGTACCGATTCCATATGCTGCAGTGCTGCGGCATTGGTGACATCCTTCTTTATTGAGTTTATGAATTTCCAGAACTCGTAAAAATCTTCCGGCATTTCTACCAGAAATTTGTGTCGAATAAATTCATTGCTCGCGCAGAGATTATCGTACTCTTGCTGTACCGACAAACGTATGCGCTTTTCTAGTATTTCCATATAATTCTTTCCCGCAATATTGTTCATTGCTTCCTTGTGCAACTCAGCCGTCTCCGACTCATAACTTCCCAAATTTTTTTCCACCTCTGGTGACTCCATTTTGCTGCTCGTATTTGCACTGTTTTTATCTTCCTCCTCGGAAGTTGCTCTGCGTTTTGGCGCCAATTTTTGGGTTTCTATTTGCTTGGTTGGGTGATTATATTTCTCTAAGTGTGCCTCATTTCGCTGGTAGCATTTGTCCCAGTATTTACAGTTTGCCTTTGGCATTTTGCAATCTCTCGAAATTCTTCAATTTAATGTATAAATGCAACAACAATAAAAACAATACTAAAAGCTTATTCTTCTTCTTGTTATCTACAAAATACCAACCGCAAGAGGTCAAACAGGGTTGTAGCAGTTGCTTGCATCATGATTGATCGATATGTCGATAGCAGTAGTAAAATAAGTTTCAATCACTACAATGGTGGCAAGCCGATATACATATATGCAAACAGCTTTCCAATAATTCTAAATATTGGCACATGTATTTAAATGGTGAGCTTGTTTTAATTATTGTATTTCATTCTATGAATACAAACTTTTGCAAAGTAATTAATTTGTAGTTGGTTAGTTGGTATTACAATAAATGTATGTTTATGGGCAGATGCTTCAAAAAGAAAATACAATAAACTTAAAATGCTATTATTCTTCGACGGCACACATAACTGAGTAGACGCATTCCTCCTTATTAATCAAATGACATGTTTTGTTGACAAGGGACATCAGCTGATTTACATCGGTTGCCCAATTGTTCAAAATATCCGAAGCACTCTTCTTTGTTGTAAAATAGATAATGCCAGCCGGTCTATCAATCTTCACACGTATTGTGTCACTGTTTGCCAATTTGGATAGATACTCCTCACAGCGATTTGTGGGTAAATTCAACAGTTCACTCATACGCGTCAAATGCAGTCGTGAGTAATACATCGCTATGATACGTATGTTCTAAAGTATAGGGCAAATTAATAGGTTAACTTAATACTTTTAAAACAACGTACGTGCTCTATCAATCGGTCCTTTAACTCAGTGATGCATTTCTTGCCATGCTTGCTGTTATCTTTGAACATATCGTTCTCGGCCAAGACCGTGCCAAAGTCCGCATTGAACGTATCAAAATTTATAAGCTCCTTCGACATGAACAGACGCAGTATTTCCCTTTAAGATAAAAAAATAAGTTAGTGTTATATATTAGTGACTCATAGTAAGGCATTATTACTTGTAGGCAAGGACATCCTCCAGTTTCTTGTTCTTTGATAAATGCGCCATCATATCACTCTGCTCGTTGTCAAAGGGAGCAAGTACGCAGTAGAGCACAGCGCAGACCAGCTTGTCTGTGAGCTCCTTTTTCTGCGCATCTGTCAGTTCAATTTCTGGCTCAACAGCCAAATCGGCTTCTGATTTTTTATCATCCTCCTCTTTTGTCTTTTTATCGTCACTCTTTTTCTTTTCATCTCCAGTAGATGACTCTACGGCTGATGGTGTCTTTTTACGTGGCGGTTCCGCAATAGCTTGATAGTGACGAGATGTATTCAGAAATGATGTATCTCGATTGAGTTGTATCATTAGATTATAGAATTTTAACTTAAGATCATGTTGTGCCGGATCATCAAAAAATTTGATACTGATTTTCTTTGCAATAATCTGGGTGGACACAAAGTCCTCCTTCAGCAGACACAGGCGCATTTGCTCTAATATGAGCTCGACCTTTTCACGCTTATCCATTGAGCCATAGGTTTCCACTTGCAGCTCTTCCATGACTGCAGCTGCAGCTGACACATCGCCATCAGCTTCCTTAATGTCTGCCAAAATTTTAGTTAAACGTGCACGTTCAATTTCTACATAGATTTTGCCTTCGGTTACGGAACGCAGCGTATCTATCAGCTTTAGCTTGGTCTCCTTATCGGGCGTCTTGTCCACATATGTACAGCATTCCTGGATCATCTTGACCACCGCCTGCTTCAGTTGAGAACGGCGACGCACCAAAAGTGATACATACTCGTTTAATGCATTCCAGTTACCTGCCTGGAGGCATATCTGGCAGATGGCCACGAGCACCCGTGAGCAGGATACCATGTCAGCACCCAGACGTGTTTGTTTCTCCAGCTGAAGCATCATTTCGATCGCTTCATGAAAGGCGTCGGGATTCTTCTTGGCCAACTCCTTGGCCATCGGAATTTTCTCATTGCAGGCAGGTTCATAGTCCACCTCCATTTTGGTAATGCGTCCGCCATCGAATAAATAGGTATCCATTATGAGCTTCAAATAAAAAGAAATTGCACTAGTTAGGATTTTTGTTGATGTTGTTGTAAATGGTATGACAAGGCAACTTTTTTTAGGGCTGATACTCACATTTTATTACGTTGAACTAAAGTGGATCGTATTTATGGTTGTTAAACGAAGAAAACTTAACTGTTTGCCGCCTTATTTGCGGTTGTTGTAATTGGAATACTTTATTTAAGCAGAAGCAAATAAATGCGGTGAATTTCGATTAAAACCCTGCACAAATTTGCTTACAAATGATGTTAAGTTGGCTGCGCGTGATAGCAGTGTTGAACAGTGTCTGACAAACAATGCAATTTTAAATTGAAACAAACTTCAAAACTAGATTGATTAAAAATTTGTTAAATAAATGTAAAACGTATATAATTTACAATTTGGGGATATAGAATGTCAACTGGTAAAAGGAAACGGCTTCTGCAAAGCAAGACCAAATATACTAAAAGACGCAAATCGCGCAAACATACGGTAAGTTGTGCATCCCTGGTGTTGCAGTTTAGCTACACTGCACAACACTTACGATTCAGCCTTTGTTAAGCCGCGAAGGAAATTCGCTAAATACAATAACGATTGAGCGTTTGTTTTATGAAAAGTGCATGTAAATTCCTTTTTTGCCAAGAGACAACGTTACGATATTCGTAATTAAATCCTTGCACAGTGCCGCACGCGTTTGCTCTTACGACGCTACAACTACAACCACATTTTGCGCGCCAATTTGAGGGGCATCCGAAAGACAAGCAGCAAAATGGCACAAATTCAGGAATATCAGGATCTGGTGCTAGACGCGCTTGATACGGTTGAGTTCAAGCTGAGTAAGTTAAACATTATATAATATAATTATGTCGAATTACAGTTGTCAATTACCTGACTGCAGTACGCGACAAGGCGGACATTAACAATGATGCCTTAATATTTCACCCCGCCATGGCACATCAGATATTTGGTGAGTCGGAGACCATATTTGGGTATGAGGGCTTGCACGTGCGCGTTCTGTATACGGCTGGTCCGTTGCATATCTATTTGGGCATCGAGTATGAGAAACGAGTCAATGAAATATCTGGCGGGGAAATCAAGGCCGACGACGTGGTGGCCACAATTGCTCAAAGTCTGCCAGACGGCTGCTATTTCATTAATCTGGATGAGTTTCTCAAGACGCTAGACAAGGCCGACAAGTTTCAACCATTTGGAGAGAAACTCAGTGAATACATCCAGCGCGCCAATGATGGCAGTGTTCGACTCTTCGAGATCTACCAATGCGACTACAAATCTTCCTCATTTCTAAAGTTCTTTACGCGTCTGCAAACTTTTATATTGTGGTTTGTTGACGCTGCCTCCTACATAGACACCGATGATGCTCAGTGGTGTTATTTTATCTGGTAATTAGAATTTCGTATACAATATTTTTTTGTTAGTCAAATTTTTTTCTTATTTCAGCTATGAGAAATATAAGAATAAGGATGGTGAGTACCAGTATGCAACTGCTGGCTACACCACTGTCTATGAGTATTATGCATATCCGCAAAATAAGCGTCCTCGAATTAGCCAAATGCTCATTCTGCCGCCTTTCCAGAAGATGGGTCTGGCCACACAGCTAGTAGAAACCATATACAAGTTCTATCAGAGCCAGAAAAATGTGGTAGACATAACGGTTGAGGATCCATCAGAGGATTTTCAGCGATTGCGCAATTTTGTGGACGCACGCCTGTGTCTAACGCTTAAATGTTTTGCCCGCGATATAATCAAGAAAGGTTTCAATAAGGAAATGGTGAGAGAGGCACGTGAGGCCTTAAAATTGAATCCACGCCAGGTGCGTAAGGTCTATGAATTGTTGCGCCTGTACTATACCAACATACATGATGAAAAGGAATATAAAGCCTATCGGCTAGAAGTTAAGAAACGCCTTAATGCCGTTTACTACAAACAACTGAAAGATCTTCAAAAGATGGAACGCTATAAAATGGATACGGAAATGTTGCGCGCACGTTTGCCCAATGTAAAACAGCGCATGGAACAGCTGCAGGAGGAGTATGTTGTCATTGAACAGGATTACAAAAATACAATTGATAAACTACGGGCCTAGACTTATGAGATATACATAAATAAAAAGAATGCCGTTGGGTGTTTGATTAATTTATTACGTTTTTCCGTTCTAAATATGTTGATTACAAAATACAATTTGTTGCTATAAGCCTATAGTAGGATTCTTTCGAATAAATATATATATATTAAAAAATTACATACATATGCGTATGCGTTTGTGTGTGTCCATGAAGTGCAGTTTGGGGTGTGGGATTTTGAGCAATTAAATATGTAAAAACATGTTTATTATATAGCTATATATCAACGATACATATAGTTTTTACAGTATAAAAGAAATTGCGAATTGGAAGTACATACGTATGGGTGTGCGGAGAAGGGGACTTTATAAATTTGGTGCTGCAACAGCACAAAGATCGTACAACTAGCAGGAGCCGTATTCCTCCATCCATTTCTCGAAACGTGCCACATCGTCAGCCGAAACAGATTTCTTGGTGCGTTGTTGTGCATCTTTAAAGTCTTGCAGGGTAATCGGCTGATCCACATCCTCGCGGCGAATTTGCTTGATTTCTTGCGGCGTGCGGCCGGAGATGAGCCGTCGCATGGCCATCATCGAGGCATCGCGGCACACATTACTAATGTCCGACCCGGAATAGCCCTGCAGTTCATCACCAATGAGTGCCGTATTCAAGTCCGACGACAGCGATACATCTTTAAGACAGAGTTGCAACAACGCCGCGCGTGTCTCCTCTGCAAAAAAAATGAAAATATTACACTATGTATGGGTATGAATATGGGTGTCCCATCTAGAGACTTCTTACCGTTGGGCAGCGGTATGTAGATGCGCTTCTCGAAACGTCGGCGAAAGGCTTCGTCAATGTCCCACGGATGATTTGTCGCCGCGAGCACCATGATGACCTTATTATCATGCAAGGTAGCATTTAGGCCATCCATTTGGATGAGCAGCTCTGCTTTAAAGCGTCGGCTAGCCTCATGCTCAGAGTCGCTGCCACGAGATGCGCACAGCGCATCGATTTCATCAATGAATATGGTGCTTGGCGCATAGAAACGCGCCATCTCGAAAAGCAGACGCACCAGCTTCTCGCTCTCGCCACGGTACTTGGATGTAAGTGTGGATGAGGACACGTTGAAAAAAGTTGTACCGCACTCTGTGGCCACGGCTTTAGCCAGCATGGTTTTGCCCGTGCCTGGAGGACCGACCATTAGGACTCCGCGCCATGGCCGGCGGATTCCCTTAAAGAACTCGGGCATTATAATGGGTAGAACTACGGCCTCCTGCAAAAAAAAATATAAAAACAAATAATTCATTTAGTTTATCTTCAAATTCGATGCTTAGACAGACGGAACAGACAACAAGAGGGATATTGGTCAAAACCAATATACCCCCGTAACTTAATGAACGAGTATAGAAACATTGTAAGGTGTGTGTTCAAGTGTCTGGTCAGTAAGTTAGTCTATATATACTGTTAGTTTATATGCTCCGGGGTAAAAAAAAAATCGAATCTACACCTTCTACTAGGTGAACGACCTTAACTTTGAATATACTCAATCAATTTCACCTGCAATATGGTCTTGGCCGCATTGAGACCCGCCACTTCAGTCCATTTGATGCACGGATGTCGCTGCAGTATGTCCTTCTCCAGTGTATCGACCAGGTGGGCCTCATAGCCTAACGGTGAGAAATGCTTGATCTTTATCTTCGGCGAACATCTGGGTGTATTGTGTGTGGTCGATTGTGCATGTGAATTATCCTCCAGTGATGTGGTCGCATCCTGATCATCAGAATTAGAGTTGTCATCCAATGAGTTCTTCTTCACCGGCCTTTGCTTAAGTGTCAGTTGCGTATTGGTGCTCAACTTGCGGGCTCGCAATCGTTCCACTGATCGACTCTTGCGCACAGCTGCCGTCAGAGCGGACGCCCTGCCAGGGCGACTCAGCCGTAGACCAATGCCCGCGTTACTACTCGTGTTGCTCGCTGGCATGCCCACATTGCCAGCGCTGCCATGATGACTCTGACTCAGATTGTTGCTGTTCAAATTGTTGCCGATAGATGGAAGCGTTGGCTGCAGCTCAGGATCACGTCGCCGCAACGAGGATACCCAGCGAGAATCCTGCTGCTGCTGTGAGGGAAACGGCATTGCTGTCTGGCCGGAGCGCGGCTGCGGGGCAACCTCTGTATCATAGACTGTGTTTAATTGTTGGGTGAGCAAGCAAAGGTACACTTCTGGAACAAACCTTGTATGGGCAAACGTTGCTGCTTGTTCCGCACTGGCACCGCGCCTCCTATGCCTAAGCCATTGGGTGCATTGGGGCCCAGATTGTTGATGGGTCGATGAGGATTGACGACAGGTGTATGCTGCACATTCTCGGCCGAAGGCTTCTTTAAGCTATTGTTGCTATTGCGTGAGGGTCGGCTTGTGGTGGTGATTTTGGTGAAGGCATATGGTGATAGCGAGTCCAGGATTAATGAGTCCATCATACGCGCCATATGAGATAAGCTGGCTGGTGGCGTCGATGAGCTGCAGAAAAGGGGGTTAAAGAATATGAGGATATATGATAAATGGTGCACGCCATTGGCCCTGCACGTTCAACTTGGCCGCATGCTTAGCAAAGGTCATTTGTTTGGCTTATCAGCTGGCGACAACAAGTCCTTTGCGTGCGCCGATTCCAGTCCAGTCAAACTTTGTCTAGTCTAGTCTAGTATAGCAACATTTGAGTCGTTTACTCTGCACACACACACACACACAAACACAGACAAACATGCACATAGAGTGCTGAGTTATTTCTAGGAAGTTAAAGTTCGTGTGGCTAAAGCGCGCGCCCGTCATACATATACATACACATATATACAGGCATATGCAAAACAGTTGAGAGTTCATTAAACTTGGGCGATGGAATGCCACCCAGGTTATTGACGTGCCGGCGACAATTGTTATTGTTGACATTCACATGCGTCATCATTGTTAACTGTAATTCGTTTACCAATACATGTTGCGACATTTTGTTCTATTGCTGCCTTTATCAACAAAAATTCCCGCACGCTGAAAAGTATGCTACAATATTTTCTATATCGTTCTGCTAACTAATTAAGTTGGCTGCAGTCAGCCATATTTCTTTGACACCCACTGGACCGGATGTGGTCTTATTGCGCGGTCATAAACAATTGGGTTAATGTTTCTGATATGGCTGCGAACAGCCAGCCACGTTCCAGAGCCAGAGATTTGTAATTGATTAGCTGCTTAACTGGGCCAACCTTTGCGCTTGTGGAATCATTAAGCGGCTGATCCGCCTAGTTGACCTATTTATATTTATATATAGTAATTTCTATAACGTTTAGATACTGAGTACTCAGCTTGAATACTCAATACTCAGCCTTAAATAATACGCTTGATTGATGGAAAAACCAGCACAAGGCTAAAAATTGCCTAGGAAAATAATGGACAAAAACAGGTATCTAGATTAGGTGATAGCTCAGGCAGCTCTCTTCCTCTCTAGTCGTATTCGTTGTTTTTATGAGCTAGCTACGGTGAATGCATGTCACCGCAAAAGGTGTTTATGTTAATTTCAGTTACAAAGAAAAGCAACCCAAGGAACCGTCAATTTATGCAAATAACAGCCAATGGCAATTATGAGTGGCAAAAACGTCAAGTCGGGTCAGCAAGGCGTCTGATAGTAGGTTAAGGACTGGGAAACTTACGTCTTTTTGCAAATCAATTTGTTATACTGAAGTAATATTCAATTTTTAATATGAATTTCGAAATGAAGAATTTTTTATGCTAAGATTATAAGTCGAGCATTTTGGATATTAAGTTTGGTTAAAGGATTTGAAAGGTGCTAAACAAAGTTTGGATAGAACTGTTGCTTAATATCCATTTAATTTTGCAGTTGAGGCCTAAATATAAAATAATTTCCAAGCTCTTACTATAACAAAAAAAGCCAGACGTAAATGGAAGAGTCACTTAATACAGAAACAAATTTGAAGTCTGACTTTGTGCCAAGCTCGTACAGTATAAATATTTACCACTGATGCAAGTCCCATAGCGAATGATATGGTGTGTGTCTGTAGCCGGACATGAAAGGCATGGCCACTTCATACTCTACTTGAATATTGGGCGGAGATTGCGGGCGGATTGCCAATGCATTGCGCTGCTCCAGTGCCGGATTAGAGCTGGTCAGCGTACGTTGACGCATAAACGATTGTGATTGTAGTCCATTGTTATTGTTGTTATTGCTGCTGTTGTTGGGCAAATGATTACTGTGACCGCCAGTTGGAGTTGCATCAACCGATTGGCCCATGCCAAACCAATTTTGTGCATTCGTATTGAACATGGTTGCCGGCCACGGCAACAGCAATGACAATGGCTTAATCAAGTACACTAGAAATTTGAAGGGTTTATAACAAATTTTCGAGCAACGCCTAAGCCTGACGGAAAATTTAAAAATACTATGATGTCGTGCGACGCTCGACGTGTCGGCTTCAAGGGTTGTAGCCCAACTGACCACAAAACTGGACAACGGACGACGCTTTCGTCCACAACAAAAGAAGCTAGCTCAGTATTTGTTTGGCGGGTAGTTTCTGGGCAGTTGTATGTGCGGTTTGTGCTTGTGTGTGTGCATATGAAATGAGGTTAAAGGAAGTATTGCTTTGAGTTTTTGTTGCTCAGTTATTGCCTCCACCTGAGCGCCCAATGGTCAACGCACGCTAGCCCAAGTCGACTCAAACTCAAGCAAAAGAAGCCATCGATTTCTGCGACCAGCTCAATCACACACACATACATACATACATACGCACACTCGCTCACATTTACATGGAATAGAATCTTACAATTACAATATTTTTTATAATAATTAGTCGTTTGTTTATGCCGGCTTTAATGGCGCGCTTGCATGCAGCTTAAATAGCGAGCTCAAACCCCAGCATATCATAAAATTTAAGTTTTTGTATGTACATATGAAGTATATATAGAACATATTTGCTTGGAGAGTCTTGTCAACAATTGAACTTAAGCTCAGCAGCAGATCAAACAAACGAAGGTCACTTTTATACATTATATGTATATCTACTTATAGACAAATCAGCTGCCAGAGATAAAAATCAATACGCGTAGAGAGAGTGAGTGAGAAAAAAATGCAGTCAAGGCACGTTGAATTGGCCCGGCACGCCTCTAACATTCGAGTAATGGAAGATTTACGGTCTGCTTACTCACCCTGCACCCATCATAGGCAAATAAGTGGAAGTGGAGTCCACGGTCCGGATGGTGGTATTGCCACGCAGAACAATCTTTTCGCGTGTGGTGCGTCTGTAGGTCTCCTCGCCGCGCATCGTTGAATTTGAATTTTAACGTATTTCCAGAAGTAGATATTTTAATTTTTTTTTAAATTTTGTTTTTTTTTTCACTTGTTTACTTTTGGCCTAAAAGTGTTGAAAAATTTTTGCGTCTGCTGTTGCTACAGGCGATGTCAAAATGTGCTGAGAGCGAACGGAAATGCTTGACGATGCTGCGGATGCTGTGTGCCAGCAGACATAGCTCTCATTCGCTGCGGCGCTCTTGTTGTTTTTTTGTTACTCTCTTCTCTCAGCTGTGTGAGTTGCGCAATTTGGTAAATTGCAGCGGCACGACGTCACGACGCGCTGCACAAATGGCCACTAACTGGGCGCAATGTTTGCTGGTCAGCAGTTCTGAATGTTTGGGCCAAAGTCAGCTGGTAACAGTGGTGAACATTTGGGGAGGTTTGTGGGTTTGCATTCTGCTATGCACCTTCGACCATTACAGGTGGCGTGCCTTCAGAGCCAACTATATAGAATTCAATATGTTACATGTTCTCGTTTTGAGCAGCCGTCCTAAGTGTTTAAGCTTTTGTTGCATACTTTAGGTGAATGAGATATATATTTCTTTGTTTAACTGAACATAAATAAGTTATGCTCATAGAATACCAATTAGTCATGCCTGTTAAGAAATTTTGCTATACCTCATTCAAAAAGATTATTCGATTTGTGTGCTCGATTTAAATAAATTTCCTTATACATTTATTTTTTAACCCACTCAGAAGAACAAATATATATGCATCTTTATTGATTGATTTTTAAAAAACTACTTATAAATTCTGATAGTAAATGACCATTCGAAAAACAGTTTTTAAATTCGTGAAATTCTTATAAGCATTTCACATTTGTTTTACAAATTTGTTGTTGTTGAAAACTTTGACTTTGCTTAAAAAGTCAAATTGCACATAAATAATCGTAAAATTGTTAAATCGTAAAATATACATGTATTTTTCTTGGGCAGTTTACAAAAACAAATTACACACATACATAAAAAGGCAATAAATTATATGCATGTGCATTTTACAATATGAAGTTAAAATAATCAAAAACATAAACGCAATAAAAACATTTCGATATATTTGTTTAAAACCTAATAGTTTCAAATGTACTCATTCATCGTATATATATTAATATAAACGTAAGTATTTTATAATTATATATTAAACCGTTTCTAACAAACACGAGGCACGTCGAAATGTAAGTAGACCACAAAAAAGAATATTAACTTTATATCTTGTAGTTGTTTTGTTTCCTTTTTGTCTTGGGAAATTTGGTGGCTTCAGTTGCATTGTTGTCGACTCGACTTTATAAGGTTGCATGTGTATCGTATGTATATAGGTAATTCTTTATAGATTTATCATTTGTAATGTATGTAAGTAACGCTTGAACGTTTTAACTTTAACAATAACTTTAACGTTGGTATTTTGCTTTTTGTCTGAAAATATTATTTCTTGACTGTACTAAAAATGTGCGTTAATCTAACAGCTGCTTTAATATTATTTATGTTTTGCTTTTGTGCACTAGAGAGATAGATTTTATTCTTTTTTTTCAAATTATTTACAACTAGCCTTACAGCTTCTTGCTTTGTCGTTTTACTAATTTGGCGAGTATATAGTTTAAATATTTCCATGACTCAATTGATTTACTGAAATTTGCGTGTCGCTGTGCGTGCCTTCCAGGCTTTGACTAGATTGAACGCGAAGTACAATGTGAACCCGTGTATCTGAAAGCCTACAAAACAAAATCCATACCAGAATACTCCATAGGGAAAACCCTAAAAGAGAAGCAGAAAAATTTAATTTTCGTTTATGGGAGTTTTTTTCAGATAGTTTGCTTACGCGCCATAGCAAAATGTCCGTCTCGTCGAGTTCAACAGACTTGTCCATGGTCACAAACTCCCAAACGTCGGCAAAGTAATAGGCAAAACAATAGACAAGCGGCAGCACAGCCATTACTAAAATTGCAATAATGTACTTTTGCATATCGCGAACCTTGTTGCCGCGGGACGCTGAGAGGCCGATAAATGAGGTGAGAAGCGAAGCAGCCCAAACGTATTCCCACCATAGCGGCGGCGGCACCTCCAACTCTTCAATTTCTAGCACAAAAATGTCCAAGCGATCCAATATGTCCGACGTCAACTTGGCCAGCATGACAAAGAACAGCAGGGCATGAAAGAAAATGCAGTATTTAAGGCGCGATTTGTTCAACAAGCTGCAAGTAGGGAAAAAATGATGTTTCATTTGTATAAGTATTTGTCTCGTTAGTTCGTTTTTTCTTTTGTTTAGTAGGCTTTGGCCTTTAGCTATCCAAAATATGTACACAAACAATGTTGTTGCAGTTGTTGTTGCTTTTGTAAACAGGCACACATGCTGACTGTCTAGCTGGCACTTTGCCCACCCACTCTGCGGGTGCTGCCTGGCTGGCTGACTGTCTGACTGGTGCACCACCGTCTGCAGCAGGAGTTGCAGGTTGATTGCCGTCAATGGTGATATCATGACCTTTTGGGTTTTTGGCAATGCAGAGGTGCAGCTACTTGCAAGTAATTAGATAATTTTGCCAAGATTTTAGAAAGTGTTATTAACCTAATTTGATATGTGTTGGCCACTTTCTGCCTAAACTCGAAGTCGTTGCCGTCGGTGCCCGCGACCATTGGACCGCCGCGAGTTGCCATTTCGGTTCGTCAATTTGATGCCGTTTTTACAGGAAATTTTAACTGCTTAAACAAAATTTAACTGTCTTCAAAGCACTTCTCACAACATTCGCTCAGACGATAAGTTGTGGCGGTGGGTCGATTATGATGTTGATGACACAAAAGAAGTGCTGGCTAACAATCAAATTAATTTCGCTGTGCAAAATTCTACTACATACACAGTTTTCAGTAAATTGTGGCGGTCGGCCAATAGTCGCTGTTAGTGCTGTACAACGGTATTGGATTTAAAAATGTAACGCAAAATATTTACTGTAATTCTTTGCTGTTTTTTATCTTTAGAATTAGCATAATTAAGTGCACTTTGGTATGCAAATGTATGCTTTATTGAGTTTAAATTTCGTAAGTGGGTGACTTTATACATTGAACCTGGAACTAATTTGGTCAGTCAACTGCGTCACTACCACCTGTTGTTTTTGTTGCATTTCAATCCATAAATCAATGCACGAAAAGCCAACAATGAAGAGTGCAACAAGCGCATATTTAAAAATAAAATACTACAACCAAATGCCTGCTTATTTTTACATTTTGTGTTGCTCTTTCATGACAATTCGCTACAGTTCTATATGCTCTTTATCGGAGCTCTTTGCTCGATTGGGCTACAAAAGTCGATTCAGCCGTTAAAGTGTCATCAGTTCCACGGCGGTATTCTTTAGCACAACGTCTTGACGCGAGGCGCATGCGATCGGCAACGGAGTTTACATTCACTTTTGACAATAAACGCAAACTTTTAATGCCAGTTATTGACAACTATAGCCTAATATTTTATGCTGAGATAGGCAGCTGAGTGGCCCTTACTCGTTTGTGTCTTAGTATCTATGTGCTTCGTTTAACGGTAATATATGTTTATATAATTTTCGTTAACATTCAACAATGACGCCCTTAGCATATTTTGCATTTTCGAAAATTAATGTGTGCGCATATTTTATAATATTTCTTCTTGTGTGCTCGTGCTCAATTTGCCTGTTGATATTCTGCCCAAATTTGAAATTATTTTTGTACAAATATCTTGCAGCTGCCCTCACATCCGCCTGTCATTGTTGTAGATACTTTTTCATTGTTTCGATTTTGGCAACAGCTATCGCTGTTTGTAAATAGAATAAATATTAAATATTGAGACAATAAGCTATGTTGAGTATGTGTGCTTTTTACAGTGCATGCCTTAAAATTATAAATTATAAATGTCATCGATCATATGATATGATTTAGATACCGGTTAACTACTAACTATTGCAAACTGTGCTAAATAACTAAAATCTGGAATTACTGTTTTTCTCTTTGCAGCTGCCCTTCGTGTATTCAGTTAAATTAAAATAATTTATATCGTATCGAATCCAAAGATAGTGTATCCATATCTATATTCAAAATCCAAACATGTCCGCCCTTGCCGCCGAGAAACGCGCCTCGTTTGCGCGCCGGGCCGAGAGTTTGGTGGAGAGGGTGAGAGTTTTGAATACCATATATGAGGTAATCGGTATCAAGTGACCAAAATGCGTGAGACAAAACAATTGGTTTTTGCTTTCTGCTCTTTGCTGTTTGTTTTAATTTGCAGTTTGTTAATTAAACACGAGTTGCCCAATTATTGCGACCTACACAATTAACTCTTTCAATGCGTAATTAAATTTAAAAAATTTTACAAAATGATCGAACTGGAATCGCTACACTTTGTCGCTGCTATGTGTATATCCATGTATATATATTATTTGTACATATATTCGATATCAATATTTATTTGATTAGACATTACGGCGTGGGTGTAAGGCATTACGATTTTAGACCCGTGCAGACGTGCTTATTTGACTTGGCTCGCTGCCCTGGCTTTGGCATGCTCTGTCAATTAATCTCTTATAATATATGGCTAGCCAAACAAACATGCATATATATTTCGTATATATAATATGTGTGTGTTAGCACTTGGATGCGATTTATTGCACCATTAATTAGTGAAGCGTACTAAACGTATCAAGATCAAGGACTCGACATGTTCACTAACAGGAAAAGTCTTTGCTTCTCTTGTTGTGTCTTTATTCGTACTATTAGGAAACAGTTGTGCCTCTTCAATTGATTCTTTGTTTCTCAATTACTCCAGGGTCTTTTTTAATTTTGGCGCAATGCAGATTGCTTCTTGGCTAATGACCGTGTTTTTCTATCTAATAGCCTGAGATGTGGATAATTATGCCATTAAAACGTCGATGCATGCTTGGGCTAAAAATAAATCTTTTAAATTAAGCAGCTCGCGAAATTGGCTCTATAATTGTGCATAGCGAATGTGTCTTTATCAGACCGAGATGCTTTTGCAGTGACATCAATTGAGTGAAGACAGCAACAAATAGTTACATCGATGTATTCACATACTCGCATATAACTATTTTTTTATACATATGTGTACACACAAAGCCGCAGCATTAATTAAGCGGGCGAAGCAAACGAAGTAAATAGACACACATGCACACATACACACATACACACATACACACATACACACATACACACATACACACATACATAAATATATTCATACATATAACTGCACATATATGCATATATACATACATACATACTTACATACTTAAATACTTACATACTTACATACTTACATACTTACATACTTACATACTTGCATACTTACATACTTACATATTTACTTATTTACATATTTACATATTTACATACTTACATATTTACATATTTACATACATACATATATGCAAAATTATATACATGCATTCGTTCATTCATGAATTCATACATACACACATCCATGCATGAATACACATACATACACATACATATACAAACATGCACACCATACATACGTACATACATTTTTGTGTATACAGATGGCCATTGACCGACCATTTAATTTGTTTTGTTGCAACAGAAATTTTAATTGAACGCCAAATGGTGTGCGTAATGATTAGACAGGCGAGGGCAGTTCTTAAAGTTCTTATATAGATATGTGGAAGTTACATTAGTTTAAAAAATATATGTGCTTGTATATAAAGATAAACAAAAATAAAAGGAATACATTTATTTAATAATGATTATAATTTGTTAATAAAAAAATTAGTAGTCTTATATTTTTAATAAAATATATAATTCATTAATAATGATTATTAATTAATACAAAAATAATATTAATTTTATAGCTACTAATATGTAGATTTGTCTACATGTTCAACAAATTGTCTATAAAGAAAACCTATATTTCATATATATTGTATTTCATAGTAATATATTTGTTAGATAATGCAATCTGTAAACATATATGAATATATCTTTTAAAAAATTAAGGAAATGTTTGTTAGTTTTCCATTTTGTAATTTATGTTCTTTGGCTTAGGGTTTTGGTCAGCCTTGGCAAGATGATCAATATGAACGATTAAAGCTTACGATTAATAGATTGTAATAGAAAAGTAGCCATTAGCTGTAGAGAAAGACCGTCCCCTATTCGTATATGTAATAAGGTATCAATCAATTTGCATTAACTGGGCTCAGAGTTATTCGAGCATTGCTCGCGCTCTTATCACGGAGCGCCGGTAATGTCTTTATATCTTATCGAAAGTAGCAAAGCAAATAATGAAAATTGGTAGAATGAGAAACCGAGGCATTTGGGCAAACCAAAAAAACAAAGAAGAATGTGAGGAACAAAATAAATGAACGATAAAAAGCTAATAAAGTGCAACATAAATAAATGCGTGCGTAAACATTGCGTTAAAACAACGTACGGAATGGAAAGATAGAGGAGAGAGAGAGGGAGACAGAGACAGAAAGTGAGAGAGAGAAAAGCAGTAGGATACACAGGCCTCGTAACTTGATTGGCTGCCAAAAAAATATTTGCAGCAAGGTCGGAGAGTTCGTACTTGAAATTTGTTTGCTCTTTTTGTTTTTTTTTTATATATTTATATATATCTTTCACTGTCCTGGCACGTGTGTTTGTATTGTCGTCAGAGCTTAAAGTGCCCTCTGCTCTGATGCCGACTGCTGCTTGGTCTTGTGTGTCTGAGAATTTGGCGTGCTTGTTTATAAGTTATTTCGTATTGGAAGCCAAATACTTGAATTCGTCCTGGGGTCACATCTAAAAGCTTTAAATTCCATTCATGCTATCGTTGAGCGTCTCAAGTTTAGCATGTTAATAATAATAATAATAAGTAGGCTTTTTGGTATTTTGATTAAATTAATATGAAGATTACATTTCAAGCTCAGCAATTGCTGCGGCGAAGTTTGAATAAATATCAAAAGTTATCTAGAAATCCAATTTTATTTTAAATCAAATTGTATAAGCAGAAGCTGAAACTTTTCCATGTGAGGTTGTAAACCTGTTTTTCTATGCTCACAGCAAAATAATATAACAACTTTCAACATGTCTCTCAATGGGTAGCTTCGCTGCGTAGAAAATTCATTTTGGTTTTGATTGTGTTGCTTGTAATTGCTTTAATTTGCAACTTTAACGTATGTTGCTATGGCTACTGGCTTTGCCAAAGCTCGCAGCGAATGTAAATCACATAATGCGAGGTGTGAGTGAGAAGGAGGATTACGCGAGCTCATTGCGTATACGCCTCGTTGTTGGCCATTTATTGCACAACATGTTTATCAGCTATGGAAAAACGCAGAGGCAACGAGTTAAGGCGCTAATGTAAAGTCTTAATTTCAATTTAATTAAAGGAGCGCAACAAAAAAATGAAAGTGGTTAATAGGAGAGGCGAGGCACAAGGCGTGTAAAAAAGCATACAAAGCGAGACAGACAAATAAATTGAAAGTACAGTGAAGAATGTCGAAATTGAACGAATCGCAAATACTGTGTAGTTTATTATTAAATATATTTCACCTGCAGCTATGGGCTAGGCTATAAAGTGTATAGCAAAACTAAATAAATTTGAAACATTTATATTATATACATATGCTGTATCATGCTCTCTGCTGCGACTCATTATAGTCTGACAGACGGACAGATAGATGTGTGAAAAACTATTTCCCCTGATGACTTTGCAAAGAATATGAACTAAGGTCAACAGCGTTGCTTGTTATACCCAGTCTTAATCCGTTTGCTATTTGCACAGGGTATATAAAAAGTGAAAGTACAACCACAACAACAGACGCCAGAGCACACAAACAA